TAGACTTCGAGTACTTACCAACGTGTTCTGCATAATTTTATCTAAAAAATTACTTAAAATCATCTAATTCCTAAAAATGTCATCAAAACGACGATTTTGAAGCTCTTCCCACTGGTTAAATGGCTATTATAGATTCACACAAAAGTTGTGTATTTTCAACTCTAAATTTCTAATTTAATTAATTATTCTAATTTTATATCTATATCCATAATAGTTCTAATATAATTTCAAAATGTTTGTTTAAATAAAAATAAAGGGTTCCAGTTGAAAATTCAAAGTTGCTACACCCACCGCGTTCGCAAGGAGAATAAGAACCCTGGTATTGCATAAGTATATAGATTTTGAAAAACCATAAAAAAAATTCCCAAGTTTCTTCGATACGACGTCTAGTTCTCGAGATATTTGACAATCGCCTTTCTGGACAGAGATCTTTATTAATGTAAATAATATTATTCAAACCGGAAATAAGCCGAAGCGAGGGAGAGGTCTGACTGTAAAATTCATTTGCGATGTTGCCAAATTTACCGGATCTCGGGTTGTCTACAAAATGTATATTTAGCATATACACAACGGATCGCTCGCACTGCCTCTACAGCGGATTTAGTGGAACTACTGCAATATAAAATTTACCAAAAGGGTGCAAAATGAGGTCCAGACAAAAATCGATTTCTTTGTACCCCCATCATTGTTACATCGAGATATCACTATATACACGTGAATACAAGGTGAGATCCAAAATCGGATCTCGCCTTGCAAAACGGATCTCATCTTGTATAGCTTATGATACAAACGGATCTCGCCTTGATATGAAGACATATATATATATATATATATACAGATTGAACGAAATAAATTCGGAACATAGGAATATAATGTATTTCGGCTCAATTCTGCTGTAGGTGGTTGGCCAACAAAATATTGTCAAATAATTATATTATAAAAATCCAATACTTAAGCGGGCTGCTGGATTCTGAACTCATAAAAATTGAAAGCTACACATAAATCTACGATTTATGCTGTCAAACCAGTTATAGTCCAGGAAATGAAGCATTTCACCTCGCAATTTTTTCGTGCTCCCTGAATTGACTTGAAATTTAACAGAAGGTAGGTAATAGCCTAAGGATCAAAATCTATATCGAACCAAAGTGCGCCAAAGCCTAGGGGTGGTTGACACCCCATCTCCTAAGTGAAATTTTTTTTTACGTTTTAACTACAGGTTTCGATTAAAAAAGTGATTCTAAACAAAAAATGTGCTATACATTGTTTTATAAAATGATATTTTTTCAAGTTATTCGCGATTGAAAGTAATAACTTTTAGACGAAAAAATCCACGTTTTTAATCGATTTTTCGCGAATAATTCGAAAATGATGCATTTTACAAAAAAAATTGTAGAGAACAAATTTGTAGCTTTTAAAAAGACAAATACAATTCATTTTTTAAAATGTTTTTGGGATATAATAGGAACCGAAATACGGCCTATCAATGTTCAGCGGTTTTCTTCAAATGCCAAATTTGAAAGATTCAAAATCAAATCAAATCATTCCCAATATCGGGAAAATGATGCATTTTTGGAAAAAAACTCACAAAACCTTTTTTAAAGAGCATAAATAGACCTATCATAAAAAAGACTCTAGCTCAAAAATTGAGTGAGTTATAATGAAAATAAGGTCAATACCTCATTTTTTACGAAAAAATCGATGAAAACAACCCCCTAACCACCCCCATAATTAAAATCGATCTTCACCCTTCTGAAATTCCCTTTGTACATATATTGTTAATACGTCCAAGAAGTTTGACCCATTTAAAATGCTTTGTGTTAGAAAAAGTACAGCTTAAAGCGAGAAACGATTTACAATTTCATATTTTTTACCTTTCTTTTTTTAAATATGCCCGAAAATACTGAATATATGAAAAAAATAAAAATTACCAAATTGTAGTTTTCTTAATGACTAAAATTATCCTTTATTTAGATTTGTTGTACAATGAATATTTGGCGAGATATAGCCGTTTAAAGCATCGATTTACGATCAAGCACCATCTTTTTCGAGCCCTTTAAACTCACCCCATTTAAAAACCAAGGGCTCCAAAAAGATTTAATTTACATATTCTTGTAGCTCCTAAAAACCTCTACAAATCGTTTTTGAAGAAACACTCTATCGTTAAAAATTAAAGGAACAACGTTAAAAACACCAGTGAATTTTTTTCCGGAAAATTCTATTAGTATAGTACAGTACATTTCGGAGCATAATAATCTACAAAACCGGTATATTAGCTAGTGGGGCGTTATACATTCGAAATTTTAAGCGTTCTTATTTTGAAATCCCATACAACAGAATAAAACATCTGCTCATATGTCTATGACTTGGCAATGAAAATATTAGAGCAACAGATTGGGGATGGTATTCCAAAGATGGTTTGTTTTTTACCCGTACGCATGAACAAACAACCTGCACTCGATGAACTTTTGAAAATTATTTTTTGGCAATGCAAAAAAGGATGCGGTGTTTCATGTGGGTGCAGAAAAGTTGGTTTATACTGTAACTCTACTTGTTCTGGGTGCTCAGGTGAAGGGTGCAATAATAGTCCACCAATAATTGAAGATGAGGATGACATAGATCACGATGAAGATGTAATTGATGACGAATAAAATTAATATTATAATTGTTTTACCTATAAATGTAAATATTTTCAACTATTTATGTAAATGTATAAGAATATATGGTGCCTTTTTATGTTGATAAATTTTTTTGTATTTAATTCTACTTTTTTCAATTTATATCTTATAAATTAGTTTATAAAAACTGCAATGTTGTAAAGGGTGATTTTCAAAAGTTGAAAAGTTGCAAAATTTTGGCGAAAAATTGTTTTCACCTATAGCACTCATAACAATTGATTTTTAAGGGTTGAAAATGTATGAATTTGTATTTTAAAGTATAAGAAAATCACTATTTAACTAATCCAAACCAAATTTCACTCATCTTAAGATTTAAAATATTATTTTACAATTTTTGAAAATTAGGGGTAGTTTTTCACCCCTAAGAACAATTAGGTTCATCGGCATGACATAAACTATAAAGCAGAGGGTGAGTTGAGCTTAATTCCAAATTTTTATGCAAATCGTTCCAAGGTGAAATCATTTTCTTCGCATTACTAATTTTTTTATATTAATCTCTAATAAGGGTCGCTTTTTAAGCGTTGAAATATGATGGAACTTTATTCCAAAGCACGAAACTATCATTATTTAATTAATTCAACCAAATTTTACCCATATTTAGGTTTAATATGTTATTTTATAATTTTTGACAATTACGGGTAGTTTTCACCCCTTAGAACAATCATGGTTCGTCGACATGACATAAACTATAAAGCACGGGTGAATTGAGCTAAATCCAAATTTTTATCCAAATCGATCCAAGGCGAAATCATTTTTTTTAGAATTAGTAATTTTTTACATTAATCTCTAACAAGGGTTGCTTTTTAAGGGTTGAAATATGAAGGAACTCTATTCAAAAGTATAAAATTATCATTATTTAACTAATTCAAACCAAATCTTACCCATATTCAGGTTTAATATGTTATTTTATAATTTTTGACAATTAGGTGTAGTTTTCACCCCTAAAACCCTTCAGCGCACTTCGGTTCGATATAGATTTTGATCCTTGGGCTATCACCTACCTTCTGTTAAAATTTCAACTGGATTACATGCAGGACGAAAAAATTGCGAGGTTTTAACTATTTTCGAGCTTCATTTCCTGAACTATCATCGTTTCCTTAGACAAACCCGTCTTACGCAAACAACATTGTTGTGAGAAAGATAGTTGAACGATATTTTATACAATGTCTATACCCAGGTATGGATTTATTTTTGTCCGAGTTTTATATTGGTCCACTATTTCAAATGCAGTTCAAACACACATGTATTAAATTGTATGTTCCGTTTTAATTTGGTTCAATCTGTATATATATATAAATATATATATATATATATATATATATATATATATATATATATATATATATATAGAGCGAGAGAGAGAGCGAGAGAGAGAGAGAGAGAGATAGAGAGAGAGATGATAAATATGCAATAGAAGAAACTTACAAATTAAGACGATTAAGCTACGATTAGACAGGATATTGTAAATTGTACAGGGCATTGTAAAATCGTTCAAGTGACTGAAAGAGATTTAGTAGTAGGTAGAAGTCCTAGGCATCATTGGGCAGTGTACGCCCAATTTTTACGGAACTATTGGATTAAAGAAGCTGTGTTCACAATGGGTACCACATTCGCTAACAATGGAACCAAGAACACATTACACACCATTACACAGAACAACATTAAGAGCGTTTTTGAATGGATATAGTGGAATTTATGCGTCGATTCATCACTATGAATGAAACTTATGTCTATCACTACGATCCTGAATCAAAACTAAATCAATCTAAAGAGTGGTTTGAACCTGGTTCTCAGCATCGGAAACGAGTTGATGTTCAGAAATCGACCAAGAAGGTGTTGGCAATAAGTTTTTTTGGGATGCAAAGGATTTTGTTTGTTACTTGCAAACTAGTAAAAGAATAAATCCTGAATAGTTCTTATAAACTTTTAGACCAGCTGAATGACAAAATTCGTGAAAAAAAACGGTCTGCAGAACAAAAACATCCATTTTCATTTTAACAATAGGTAAAATACATGAATAAAAGTTCAATTTGTTTAAGCATTAACCGTATACACCAGACCCCATACCCAAACCATATGTTTCAGTACCTGTGCAAAAAAAGTGCATGATTGTTCAAGGAGACTATACTTAAAATAAACTGCATTTCAAATCATAATTTTTTTTTCTTATTGAACAGTACAATACAGTAAAAATTAAAAGACCATCTGTAAAAAAAAAGTTTTAATTGATACAGACGCAAAGAAGCGAAGTAAAGGGAAAAATGAACAGAGAAACTTACATGAATAAACAAAATAATAATAAATAAAAAAATAATCAAAACTTACGCCTTTTTCGCCGATTTCTCCTAAGATCATTAAATTTAATTTTTTATTGGTAATATTTTCTGAAACGCTCATCATCTGGATAAACTGTAATACTGCTCTCTCGAAATAAAATGGATGACTAATTGTTATTCCAGCTATCGATCTTGAGATCGCATAAAATACTTGCATATCACAGTTTTCCTGGGAGAATATTACAGACATAAGCATTGTTAGCAGGACACCATGTTCCAATCCTGGGAGATCGCATACAACCAAAGAACTTAAGAAGCTTACCGTGGCCTCTAACAGTGGCGCTGAAACAAAAATTATTGTCAATATCAGCGGATTTTTGTTTATTATTACAATATGGTTGGTCCCAGAAGTGCACATCAAAATTACTGACAGTATATATATATATATATATATATATATATATATATATATATATATATATATATATATATATATATATATATGGTAACGGTTTTACAAGCTAGCTAACATTAAAAGAAAACGCGAAATAATAGAATCAATAGAAAAAAATTCCAACAGTCTAAACCAGAGATCAAAGCCTCAAAAGCTTCCAACAACATGGAAAACGGTATTAAAAAAAAGGTCTAAAATACATCAGACCACAAGACCGACTAGTAGGACCCCGTCTACCTACACACGGACAGGACCAATCACAAGAAGCCTTGCGGCATTAAAAAGTAAACGCAGCGACCAAGAGAGTCAGTTAACTTTAAGCATCAGCGAGAAGCGCGAGAAGATATATATTCTAGATATCTAGACATCTAGATATGTTTAGATATTGCGAGAAAATATAGAGCAAGCGATAAAAGGCAAAGTCGGGGAGGATCAGGCAGGTATTACGACAGGAAGATCATGCATAGACCACATATACACACTGGAACAACTGTTGGAAAAGAAAAAAGCAAAAAATAGAGATATACATGTGGCTTTTGTGGACCTGAGAAAGGCGTATGATTGTACCAAGGTCAGAACTATGGGAGGCAATGTACAAATTAGAAATACAGACGGAACTCATAGAAGCTACAAAAGCTCTGTATAAAGAAAATAAAGAGTCCAATAAAGTGGGAACAAGAATCATAGGAGACTTTAACACAATAAAAGGGCTCCTGCAGGGTTGTTCCACATCTCCAACCCTATTCAAAATATACTTAGAGAAAGCCTTGACTACATGGAAAAGAAAATGCGAATCGCGAAAACAGAGTACCTATCTACAAGTGAAGAAGACATAGAAGATCTACAGATTGATGACAACATAACAATCAAAGGAAAGGACAAACAAATTCAAATACTTGGGGTTTATAATCACGAAAAAGGCAACAACAGAGGTAGAAATTACGCAAAGATTAGGAAAAACAAGAACAGCAATCCTCAGTATGGTGGGATAGACACCTAAATATGAAGACAAAACACAGACTTATAAAACACTAGCGCGAAGTATTATGACATATGGGGCTGAAAATTGGATAATTAACAAGAAAAACAGCAGTAAGATAGTAGCAACATAGATGGAATGCCTGTGAAGATGCTGCAGAGTATATAGAACAAAAAAGACTAAAGTGATATGGTCATGCAAGAAGAACTAGCGACAGCAGATGGATAAAGAGAATAACCAAATGGAGCCCCATAGGAAGGAGGAAAAGAGGACAACCCCGAAGAACCTGGAGGAACGAAGTAGACGACGCCATGAGTAAGAGAGGCCTAAACGATGGAGAATGGATAACGAGAGAGATAGAAACGGTTGAGCTAGGAGTGAATACCTGATGCCTGAATTATATTCTATCCACCGAGAAATATTCAAAAGATTGTTTCTCCTGAATAGCCAACGCTTAGTTGATAGACCATATTTGTGTAAAATTGTCTTGTGCTACACCTAAAATACAGGCCCGACCACCACGCTGGTATGCAATGGAAACGGTTGGCTTGACTGAAGACCAAGTCTCCAAATATGTCCCCTTGCTGATGGTAAACAAAATTTGTTTCAGAGATAATGGGCTTTCTTAGAAGCCTATCTTTATTTGAATAGATATAAATGTAGGGTATACACACAAATTCTTTTAGCATTATCTATATATGAAAAGGTCTCGAGTCAAACAGCTCCTTTGAAATCTACAGTCTACAAAATAGTATTTTCTATTTCCTTATAAATTAAACTTTAAACAATAAAGTACTTAATACTTCTTAAATGGAAAACACCAACTAGTTGTCCATTTACTAATGTCAAAATGTCTATGGTCTAAGGTTAGTTAAACTTACCGTCCAAAGAAGGTGATTTTAGAAGTTCTAAAATCTTCGGCATAACAGTCTCACTAATATTTTCTAAACTATCCGGAAGATAATCAGCAATGGACTTTAAAATCTTGATGGTCCATTTAGTTATTTTAGGATCAGATATGTCAATAAAATTTGTACTTTCTGTAACAACAGGTATTAATATGTCTTTGTCCATATATTGCAGATTACCCTCAATCAAACTATTTATTAATTGAAGAGTCATTTGTTTCAAATCTCTTACTTCATTTAATTTTAAGATTCTAACCAATAACGGGATTAAAGGTAATGCAGCTAAGTTCTCCCCTAAAAAAAATAAACATATAGCAATAATATAATTAGTAAGGACTATGAATGTCCATTATGCAAATAAAGTAGAGCTTGTTAGATATGTTTTTGTCAAAAATTACAATTTTTAATAGAATAATCTCTACGCCAGGGCCGTTCCGACCAAGGTTCCGTTCTACTATAGTATATGCTTATAGTTAGACTAGTAACAGAAAGGTTGATTACGGCGGCCAAATTACTCTAGCACCCTGGCGGCACAGATACCCTAGGAACGGCCCTGCTCGTGTGATCTACACAAAATAACGGAATGGAACAAAAAATACTTACTAGAAGGAGATAAAACAATCCTCATTAATGTTTTCACAGATGCGTTCATAGTACAATTATCCCTCAGTGTCTCAAGGAACAAATTTAGAGGATGTAATGCCATAGGTCCCATGTAAGGGACCAAGTTAATTATTATCTCTCCCATTGTAAATATCGCTTTTTCTTTAACATTTAGAGGGCTATTCATTTGTATATGCCATAAGGTGCGATTGTATATGTCTCCAACACATGGCCTAAAGTCAAAGTCAAAATAGTTAGGATCCAAGGATTGACTATTATTAGTAACGTTTGCAAGACGTCTAGGGCTTTTCCATTGGTCTTGTGACAGCGACTGTTAAGAGAATCTGTGACTGGAGGAAGTAAAATCCTTATATAGGGGTGAAAATAGTGCAACTGGTTTCTATAAGTTGCCAATATACTTAAAAGGCAAGATAGTGCTTTGAACATAACCTTGCAATCACCTCCTGAGTCTCCTAATGAATTTACTATTGCGGGTAGTACATCCCCAAAATAATCAGTAAATCGTTCTGGAAGAAGTATAGATAGTTCTTTTAGTAAACTGAAACACTTCAGTCTAATTTTTGAGTTTTCTTGCACTACATGAAACTTCGCGGCATTCACAATGTCTTCGATTCGACCAGAAATGATTAAAGTAGCCTCGGTCACTTGATTTGTATTTTCTTCACCCCACGAACTTATTGATTTCAGAAGTTTTAAAAATACATTGAAAACAAGTATTCTCACAATTATGTTACCATCTACAAAGAAAAAATATAGTTTAGCGTTTAGATTAATATAAATAAAGACAAAATTTAGAATTTTTATAATAATTAAAAATATTAATAGTTTCTTGTTCTGAAATGTATCCCTTCTATCAAAGGTTTGATATCAGCATTGTTTATTTATGGCTACCCAAAAAAGTTAATCCTTTATGACCTTTATTGCATAATACTTTTTTCATATTTACAAATTTAGCACCAGCTCTAAAAGAGTTTTAATCTGTTGAATTTGCTCGGAATTATGATTTACCTATGTTCCAAAGTACTGTTACCTATTTACTCTTTCTATTTGAATATTGTCGATATGTATTTTTCGTTTTCTCATGCATGTTTCGTAATAACCATGAATTTTGTGTCTTCTTTAAGTTTGTTCTGATGCCATATTTGTGGCAATTTCCATTCAGTCATTTTAATATATCTGCCAAGGTCTGTACAATTAACGGAATAGACCAAAGAAATTAGCAAATAAAAAGCATTTTTCGTGACACTCGTTGATACGTGACAACTGCTCTTAATAATTGGTGATACCAATACATAATAAACAAAATATGCAATTATTAAACTCCATTTTCTACTTATAAATAATTTAAATAGTTATTTGATTTTGAATGCTAAAAGACAAGTGAAGACCGTAAATTATATGGAGAAGACATAATTTTACAGAAAAATCGTAGGAAATCCTTTAAAATGGCGGTTTGTAAAGATATTTTTGTTAATTTGGTGCTTAATTATCGCAAAAGTAGCTTCAAAAGTGGATTTTTTGAAATTTCTTTTATACAAAAAATTACCTTGGTACCTCGAATACAAAAATTAAATTAATTTAATTTGTTGTTTATTTAACCCTATATTGCATACCGTAGCTTTAAGGCAACACCGGAATTAATTTCCGTTAGAAAACTAACCTTTAATTTATTAAGTAGATTAAAACTGCATATTGAGTACTGAAAGACACATTCTATCAAGTAATCATGTAATTTGTAAAGTGAATGAAGTATGTTCTACAATTCCTCTTGAAGAATTCTTGTCAATAGATGAAGAGTTCCTTTCAAAGGAAGAAGCAGTCTAAAACAGTATAACCCAAAAAAACCGAAAAAGTGTGGGTAAAAAATTTTTGTTTTATCTATTACTTCTGGTTTGATGTATAAATTCGAAATATATACTGGAAAAGAACCTCATACTCTAACCAATATTGGTTCAGCTGGTAGTGTCTCAGGTTATTAGAGATTATCCCAAAACATCGAATCACAAATTATACTTTGACAATTGATTCAATACTATCAACTTGCAATTAGAATTGGCAAAAAATTGTATACAATGTGTAGGGGCTGTAAGGCAAAATAGACTAGCTGGTTGTGATTTGATATACCTATAGAAGAAATAGAGATCTGAATAGAAAACTATTATCAATGGTACTCCCCTGACTGTTGTGAAGTGGTATTACAATAAAGGCGTTACAATTCTAAGCTCATACGCAGGAGCTTATCCATGTGGCAAAAAGAACAGGTGGGATCATATATCTAAGCAATATATTGAAACTGATTGTCCATCACCTATCCTCTTATACAATAGGAGTATGGGAGGCGTTGATTTGCTCGACTCGCTTATTGCTCTATACAGAATATCAATTAGGTCCAAAAATTGGTACCACAAATTCTTTATCACTTTATTGACATTATGATTGTTCAAGCATGGCTTTTATATAGAAGAGACTGCACTGCTTTAAAAATACCAAAAAAGGAACAATCACTTCTATTGGAATTCAAGGCAGAAATTGCAAAAACTCTGTATGAAAAATAAAGTAAATGGTTCTAAAAGAGAGCGTCCATCTAGTTCAAATGTATCCACAGCATATGAGGAAAAGGAAATACCATGCAACAGCACCCATTCCCTGCGCAGAGGTTAGAAAAGATGGAATGGGTCATTGGCCTACATATTTTGAAAAGAAAGGAAGATGCAAATATCCTAATTGTAAAGGAACTCCCAAAGTTCAATGCCAAAAGTATAAAATATTTTTTTGTTTTACTACAACTTCTTTTCATACCGCTTGAAAGTGGGTCAATGGAAACATTTTTTTATGTTTGTCTCTGAGACTGATATTAGCTTTAATGTCCAGAAAAGATATGTTAGGGAAGCTATGTTAGTTGGAAGGTTAAACAAATTACTCAGTTAAATAAACAATTAACAAATTAAGTAAATGCATTTTTATTATCTATGCCACGAGGTACCCCAAATTAAGAAAAATATTAATGTTCATTGATTAGAATCAGAAATATTGCCAACTTATTAAATTACCATAATAAATTGGAATTTATGAATTCAAATCAGCAAAAGCTATCGACCGAGAGTATAAAAAAAGAGCAAAAACGATTGTTAATTATAACTTTTTCATTAATCACTGTTTATTTTAATATTATGTATGTACATTTCATATTTTTATATTAATAGTTTACAAACATATATTTTAAAGCTGCTATTTTTACTTACCATTAAATCTTGATATTAATTCGGGTAACACCTGTACATATAAATGCATCAATGGTTGAGGAAGCTTTAACATAGCGTCTAAACATCGTAAAGCTGCTTTGCGTACCTTCCAGGTGATGTTAGTAATGACGACATTATTGTCACCGCCCTCATGATTAGGAAATTCATCTCTAATGTAGTTCAGGCATAGTTCTATGATCTGTAAAACATTTTGGAAATAAATGGACAAGCATTAAACATTATTTACAAGGCAATAAAGACATTAATGTCATGCTAAAATTAATACTGCAGAAATTAAAAATGTAGCTATTGAAAGAAAAATACCAAGAAGATGGCTCCAATTATCTTCAGGATTAAAGAGTGCTAAATAGTACATACACATTTACCCAATACCAATAAATAATGAAAATCTATTTATTAGAAAGTTATACAAAGTCCACAAACACTCTTTACAAAAGAAGACTACAAATTCTGAAATTCTTTTTTGTTGATTTGGGTTAGTTAAATCAGCTTAGCGAAAATGCTTCCTAAGAGAGCTAGACCTCTAATTTTGACTAGTATAGACATCTATAGCAAGGATCTGTTTCCTGCAGTCGATTCTTTGACTTTATTAGCTATTAACAAATTAAGGTGAAATTTTCCCTTTTTTTTTCACTTTTCTAAATTTTCACTTTTTTAAAAAAGTTATGTCATATAAAAACTTTCAGCGTTTTTTTAAATGTTTCTATCCTTATTTGTTGCAAGTTGCAAAATAAGTTAAAAATGTTGGTTTTATAAATGTTAGTAACTTTTTTTTAATGAACTTGGCCTTCATATTACAAGGAATGTTGGGACTTCTGGTGCATACAATTAAAATTTCAAAGCGATCCATCAAATAGTTTAAAACTTATTTCATTTGTTTATCCCAAATTAAAATTTTTTGCGACAATATAAGTTAGAAAATACTGAAGTTTCAGTAATTCTGTGGGTAGCTTATGAAAAAAGATTTATTCTAGCAGTATTATTAAAAGAATTAAGAAAAATAATTTTGAATACTGCTAAATCATTTTGCAAAACATGTTGACTTTTTGCTTATAAACAATTAGAATAACTGTTTAACAATTGCCTGCAAGAAAATTATTTTTCCATATTTGTAATAAGTCACAGCAGCTTTGGTTATAACAATTAACAGATCAAATTAACGTCATTTGAGAGAACATACTTTAAAGTTTTAAAGTGTAATTCGAAAAAGATTTCCGGAATCATCCACGAGGCTTCAAAATGTGGTCCTCAAAATCGACCGGCTTTAATTTTTTATTTTAGCAATATTTGAGGTAATGAGTAATATATACTTCTTCAATAAACTTCATAAACAATTTATAATAGATTTTATGAAAAACAAATTATCCTACTCAAAAATTTCTAAAAATAGATTTCTAGGTTTTATTTCTTGCTAAACATGCTATTAGATGAATTAAAAAAGTGAACTTACAAAATCATTTGTAGAAAAAAAGAGTTAAAACGCAAATTATTGCGGTTGGAAATACAGCAAAGGGCCGTTAGTGCCGATCTGATCAACAGAACTTCTTGCACCAGTTTTTATTAAAACAAATTACCTGTTCTTGCAAAACTGACCTGTGGGTAGCTTATTAAAAAACACTTATTACAGGCAATGGTTAAAAAGTTATTCTAATTGTTTATAAGGAAATTTTTTTTTATAATATATAAATCTCCGTATTTGACAAGCTATCCATAGAATTACTGTAGCTTCAATATTTTCTTACTTGCTTCTGACTTGTTGCAATAAAATTTAATTTGGGTAAACTATGTGACTGATCGCTTTGAAACTTTGAATACTCCATCTAGAGAAGAGGAAAAAACAAAGTAAGAAAAGCAATTTCCCTTCTCAATAGTATCCTTTGAGATTATTCAATACCAAATAACAAGCACAGTATATGCGGCTCACAAATACAAAGCAAACCAAATATACTGGACAGTACTATATAAAATCTCAATTCCAAAGATGAAAAAAAGAGATTATTGAAGAACAGTTAAATGTTTTGTATTTTGAGAACGATTTCCGAAGTGGAAATTGAAATGTCAAATAAACTTATTTTATTGTAAAATTGTAGCCTATAAAAAAAATACATAGTACATAACGTAATAAAATAGGTATAATTACTTACTAGGATTATACGTGGTGTGACTTCTTTGGGAAATCTGTATATAAAACGCTTAAATGTTCCAAAGCATATTATTCTTAGATCATCTTCGTCTGGCAACCTACTAAATTTTAGAATTGCTGGAATAAATCTTTGGACATGTGTTGCAAATCTTTCTTCTGCTTCGAGGCTATAATTAAGTATAAATTCTGGTTGTTTGCTATAATATAGAAACAAAAAGTTAATCTTCTAACATATACAACATATTACACTATATCAGCCAAAATTTAAGATTGATATTGAAAATAGGAAGGAAGCAAAGTAAGGATACTGTTGCAATAACAAGCGTAATAAGTTTTAGATTATATGAATGAATATTTACATTATGAAAAGGGGTCATCTCCACTTTTTTGACATTTCCACTTTCTGTCGAATTTATATTTAACACACATAGACGCGTCTATTCCGTATAAAAATGGGTCAACATTCAATACTATTACCGTAAATACAGCATCCCCACAAACAAGTTCAGTTTGAAAACAAGTCATCTCCTAGAGATAACCCATTTTTAAAATGAACGGCGATTTGTACCCACCCACAGTATAATGGTTTATTACATCTGACCTACCCACGATGCAATCTATTTAGTCGTTGTATAGACCTGTCTGGAAACAAACGCTGTGCGTAATACAATGTCGTGTAGTGATAATAGTGCAAGTAAATCTCCCTTAAAACGAAAAAAAAGGTGTGAGGAATCAAAACAGTTAATCTATTAAAAATGCAAAATTTCGCGGGAAAGAACATCTAAATCATGTGGGCAAACGCATATCTTTACGAAAAACTGGAGAACCAGAATCTTCTGGCATTAATAATGATTAAGAAGTTCAAAAAATTACTATTTAGTATTTACTTTCCACAGCGGAACCGTTCCAGAGAGATTTCGGTACCGTTAAAAGAAAAACTCGTCGCCACAACAGGATTTTTTTCTGTAGAAGAACATGAAGATTAAATCGTCTCTTCCTCTATTCATAATAAATTTGATATTAGACATATTACTCATATAGATGTAGCTGCTTTTAAAAAATGGTGGCCAGACTTTTTTAAAAAGAAAGTTTTTTGTCTATACGAAGCTTTGGTAAAGAAGTTCCAAAAAACGAAAAGGTTAGTTTATTAACTCCTTAACTTAATATGAACAGAATTTAGCTTTTCCACGGATGATTTGGGTGTGGTATTAGCTAAACCACACATACTGATGGCATAATTGAAGAACGTTTTTAGCTTTTAAAACCTCAACAAAAGGGCAGTCCACCTATGTTTGTACCTGATTCTCAAAATCTTAATATCAGGGGAAAATTTCAATAAACATAAAGAAATTGAAGACATTAAGAAGCTTCTAAAATTCATTCCAGATAATTACAAGCCATTCTGTGAATGGTCAACATGATCTGTGAATGGCCTACTACCAGTGCTGAAGAAGCAGAACAAGAAGACAATTAATTAAACTATGTATCCTTATTTAAGTATGTTAAATGTTTTTGTTTTTTCTTCCAAATTTAGTGTAGCAGTTTAATGTTTCTAATAAACAATATTCATATGATAATGCCTATTTTTACTTTTATTACCTGTGCATTTTGAAAACGGGCCATCCCAAAAAATTTCAGTTTTTATGTCTTTTAAAATTAAAAAAATATATTTTTATAATATTCATCGGTTTGTGTAGTAAATCATAAAACCAAAAAATACATATAAACACTTAATTTCTTAATAGTAATAAAGGTACGAAGTTTTTTTCCTCTCCTGTAAAATTTAAAAAAGTGGAGGTGACCCCTTTTCAAAATGACCGATTCATATATACTAAATGTTGAAATATCAACATACTTTTCTGCTATTTTGGTTTCCCCTCGTAGTTAGTCAAATCTAAAATCTGTCAACTTACTTGTTGAGCAATAAAAAAAAACAGATAATGAATGTCGTTTCACTGAAAATGCAGATATGTGGGCAGTTGTGATTTGGGAACATTCATAAACATTTTGTTCAGACAATATAATATACATGTTTGATACAAAGATAACTTGCCTCTATTTGAATTGTCTTTATTAAGTTGGTAGCAGTTTTTACGACCGAAAAACAAATATTTCAGCCCATCTTATGTGTGTGAGATTATAACAAGGTTTCCGCACACTAACAGAACGTGAAAATATATTATATAAAATTATAATAAATGTATATGTATGTATATTATGGTATACCGCCGATAATTAAACAATTTAGGAGGCTAATATTGAAGAATAGGCTTTAAAGCCTACATACAAGAAGGAAGAAGAAGATGGTATATACTACATCCATCTTGATTTTTCGAGTATCAGTAAATAGGATTTTGGGCCCTTCAAAACATCACACAGATCGATAAGAAGTATTTACTTAAAAAATTAGTAATAAAAGTAATGTCATTGCCAGTAAAACTAAAATTTATCATATCCCTTGAACAAATAACTTTTTGACACAAGAATATGTTCCAGAAAAAGTTGTTAATTTTTTTTTAATTTCCAAAAAATCGCTTTTTTTAAACTCAAACAGAAACATTGTAACATAACATACTATTTCTTAGTATTCATTAAACAAGCAACACCGTTTTTATTACTAATGAAGAATTAATAATTATTAAAAATTACTCACCAGAGAGAAGCAATGCATTGTATATACGTTTTTGCCAACATATGATTGTCACGTGTCATTAATTCTGAATATAAGTGTAAAATTAAGTCATAGTAAATATTGTCATTGCAGTGGAGTACAAGAGCGGTCAACGCATCAATGCAGGCTTCACTGACACTTGAGTCACGACAGGAAAGTTCATTAAGCAGGCTGTTTAAAACTGGACCATGTTGATACTCTAATATCATCCCAAAACGTGATAATAATACCTGTGTACTTTTAATAACTCCTAATCGAACTGATAAATGCATCTGAAATATTTTTTAAAGTTATATATTTATATTTTAAATATTTGTATTATATAATATTACCCCTGGTAATATACCAACTAGCCAACTATGGGAAGCTCACTAAACACATCCATTAATCAGACTCCCATAAATGCTATCAAACCTTTATGAAAATTCCACCTCAAAAATAAAAATGGAAAATGAGCTGTCCAGAAATTTCTGTGGCAAAGGATTACGTCAGGGGTGTTGTATATTGCTAACACTTCTTAAAATCTACATTAAAGAAGCACTACTACAATGGAAATCTAAATGTTGATGACCATTCAGTACTGGCAGGCAATAAAGAATTCTTTCAATAGGAGATTTATGAGATACAGCAATGTGCAATTTCAATCTAGATGTTGAAAGGTCAAATAAAGAGCTTGTTATACTCATACTATATTCTAAGAAAGTAAAAAAACAATAATAAGACTTACAATCAATTTGCAAACACCTGAACCTTGACCTGAAGATGCATAGCAAATTATAGTATGCGAAACTGGTTGTTAGTGGTAGAATAAATTGATTGTGGGTAAGTTTTATCCTTATTTCTTTTAACCTATTTGAAATGGACTCACATATGCAACATATTCAAGATTTATATTCCAAGTATATAATTGATAGAAGCCTAAGAGATCACATCAATATATAAACATAACCATTATACTTACATCATGAAATAGACTACACTCGTTACTGGCCAATATTTTCATTACTTTTTGAGCAATGACATCAGAATTATAATAAGAATGAGTTTGTCTCTCATAATATGGAAGTTTGTCCAAAATTAATAGTAGCGTAGTGATCGCATTAGTTCTTAAATGTGGTTTATAAGAATAAATAATGGTGTGTAAATATGCAATGATTGACATCATGCCATCTTCGGTGACTTTGCTGGATAAGCCTATTAAACTAAAAAATAAAAAGGTTCTCAAAATCCGTAATTTTTACATCCAAAAAAATATTACTTATAAATATTATCTAGTCACACAGAGTTACATTCTAAATACAAATCATAGTATATACCCCCTGTATTGTGATACAAATGCAATTCTCTGTCAGTAGTGATGTCAATATTGTAATGATTTATTACTTTCTACTCGTTACTTACCAGTAATCATAGTAATTGATTATTCAGTTAGTCATTACTCTACACTCTATACTCAGGTAGACATTACTTTGATACACTCCTTGCTTGTAATAGCATGGCCGTGATCCATATGAGTAGAGTAGAAGTAATCAGTAATCAGGTACTAACAAAGATACAGCTGTTTGCAATTGTATATAGAACAGTATGAATAATTATTGCGTCTGCAATTTTTTAAACACTCAACTGTATGATTGGTTGCATAAAAATGTTTTTAATTCTTTCTCTGTATTGCACCTATTTCTATAACATGACTTGCCAACTATTAAATATTCATTCAACTGGTTTTACTTTACTAAAAGTATTCGTTCAGATTAAAACATTCTACTAACAACATTCGTTCAACTGTTTTTACTTTAGTATTAAAGATATTAAAGATTATTCTTTCGACTAAAATGTTAACTTTATTACAAAGACAGTGAACGATTTTTCAACCATCGAATAATACTATAGATTAACAAAGATGACACAGGTTTAAAGTACGCAGCTAAAATACCCTTTTTTGTATAAAAGGGCTATTTCTGTACTTTCGTCAGCTCCGAACCATCTGGTCCTGGTCTTACTGTGATACAGATATCCTGCTGCGCTAATGTTTCCAAATTCCAAATTTAAAAAACCAGATTTTCTGTTTCAAAACTTATTTTATTTTAGTAAGATGAATGCTTTGAACATTGTGGTATGCTGTAACTATTTTTATTACGTTTTTAAAATATAGTGTTACTTTTCTTATTAACAATTTGTAGTTATAGTTAAAAATATAGAAGTGCTTCAAATTCCTCGCTGCTAAAAATTAGTTACATATTTGAGAAGTGAAACAAAAATGACCTCTTCAGTTCAAAAGAAAAGTGCCATCTGGCTACACTTTACCTCTGTAAACGAGGAAAAAGTCAAATGTAATATTTGCAGTACTATTTACTCCCACAAAAGTGGAACAACAAGCAACTTAAGGAAGCATATGAAAACTAAAAATCCTTTAGTAATTGTTGAAGACTTAAATTTTCAAAAGGATGTAACAGAAAAGCGGAAAAGAGTAAAAATAAGTAGGTATTTGGACATTATTAAAATTATAATAGTACTAATTAATGCTAACTAATTTTAGTGAAAGAATCCGAGATAGATCCCCAACCTGTTCCTTCAACATCAAGAGAAGAAGAACCTGGTACACCATTACAATTAGGGAAAAAACCACGACTACAAACTACTAGGATAACAAATTATTTATCTCAACCCATATCTATCGCAAGACAAAGTAAAATCAATGATCTCGTTTTAAATATAACCATTGATTTACTATATCCCTAGTACATGATGAAGCATTTGTGAAACTTCTTAGAGAATTGGAAACCGAGTACAAACTACCAAGTAGAAACACTGTTGTCAATGTGTTACTGGAGGAACAATATCAATCAATTAAAAGTAAGTTGAAAGAAATTTTGAATGAAAGTGTGTATATATGTTTAACAACAGATGGTTGGACATCTTCAGCAAATGAAGCATATTTTGCTGTAACAGCTCATTTTATAGACAAGAGATGGGAATATGTTTCCTGTGTATAAAAGTTGTTTTTTGCATTGTTGCGACACTTACACATCTGTGAATTTATCTGATGAATTAATTAGAGTTGTTGCTGAATGGGATATTGCGGATAAAGTTGTTGTGACTGATAATGCACCAAATATTGTTGGTGCAGTAAGATTATCCAACTTGAAACATGTACCTTAACATACCCTTTGCTTTATATACTGTATGCTTTTCACATACCCTTAACCTCACTGTGCAGCATGGTATCAAACTAGATGGGGTAAATACGATTAGAAAACAGTTAAAACCTTAGTAGACCATTTTCATCAGACTCCAAAATCTAATAAAAAGTTAATGGAAACGCAGACAAGACTGAACGCTGAGGAACATTCAATTTCAATTCCTTTAAAACTAAAAAATGACGTAGTAATCCGATGAAATTCAATGTATTTTATGTTTTGAAGGAGTAATAAAATTAGAAGAGTTTTATTGAGAGTCATATTAGTAACTGTTAAAATGGCCAAATAAAAGTAATTGTATTTTGTAACAAGTAGAAAGTAATGATTGCTTTTTTAAAAGTAATCAGTAATCACGATTACTAGAAAGTAATCGTATTTGACATCACTAGCTGTCAGTCCATCTGTCAGTACAACCATAGACAGGTATGGACTCAGTGAAGAACCTTGATGCAAACCAACTGTCACTGGAAAACTTTGGTTAATCCAACACCAGTCCTTATTTTGGTTTAAGCTTCCTAGTACATATCCTTTAGGGGCCTTACATACTTCTCAGGAATGCATTTCTCTCTTATACATCTCCATAGCTCTTGCCTAGGAACTGTTTCATACACCTTCTAAGATCTATAAATACCATATGTACTCTTGCTGTATTTCTCTACCAATTGTCTCAAAGCAAACAAGGCATCTGCTATCCTCCTTCCTGGCATAAACTGTTCTTCTCCTATCAATGTCTCTCTCCTTAATCTTAACTCTACAGTTATCTCCCAAATTTTCATTGTGTGTGACATTAACTTTATCCTTCTATAGTTCTTACAGTCCTCAATGTTCCCTTTATCTTTATACAATGATGATATTATTTATGTATCAGAGACATCGATATTAAATAAAAAACAACAAGAAATGTGAAAAAAAAAATAGAGAACAGCATTTGGATCAGAAGGACAAACGAAGATCTGAGAGTTATATAGTCCAGGATATTATGAGTAATACAAACTAAACAACTAAGATGGCTAGGACACATACAAAGAATGCCAGAGGGTAGACTACCAAAAATGCTGTCATGTACAATAGGATTATGCCAGAGAAGAGGTCAACACAGAACAAGGTGGAAATAGAATGTAGAAGAGGATCTAAAAAGATCATGAGGCCAACTGATACACACACATTTAACTCTTCTTTATTAAGTAGAAATTTCTTCTTGTAGTGTCTATTTCTGATGTTATCAACCCTCATGGTAATCTGTATTTTGAACACTGCTGCTCTGAAAAGATTTGTAATTGTTGAACCACATATGTAGATTTTTCAGTGAGGAAATCATTCGCCTTCCTGATCCTTATTTTCCTTGTAGAATTAATTGCAGCTGTTTATATCTTTCACTATTCCTCATGATAAACAGTACAAATTTACTGGCATAATTGTATCACTATTTTCTTTAACTCCATTCCTTGTACTAATTTTCTCTATTTACCACAATTTGTTATCTCTCACCTAGTTCCTTCTCATTTTGTCCTGTCCACTTAATCTCTTGGCTTACAAGCTATTTGTACTTCTCTTCTTTTAAGTGCATCCCCAAATCTATACTATTAACTATGAGACTCCCCTGATTTTTCTAATCTGTAATGATCCTTCAACAAAACACTCCCCACCACCAAATCCAAAAACATTTGACCTTATCTAAGATGCCATTATTTCAGTGTACTTTTTGTTATCTTGGTGGTCTTTTCATTATTATTTATTTATTTTTTAATATACAGGATTACCCCCATTACAAAAAAAATAATGTTAACAGACAGTATAAAAATAAATCTCTGTAATTGCTTACAAACTAAGTGAAATTAAAATCCTAATTATCATCATCATCATCATCATCATTAGCCATTTTGCGTCCACTGCTGAACATAGGCCTCCCGTAAATAATTCCATTGCATCCGATCTTGAGCAACTTGAATCCAGTTAGATGCGCTTTAAATCGTCCGACCACCTTGTTGAGGACGTCCTCGACTACGATAAGCATCGTGTCTAGGCCTCCACTCTAAAATTTTCTTTGTCCATCTTCCATCTCTGACCCTAGCAACATGTCCTGCCCAGTTCCATTTCAGGTTGTAATTCTTTCAACTGCGTCCGTCACACCAGTTTTTCTCCTTACTATCTATTTTAATCCTAATTATAAATAAAACAAAATATTAATTATATATAATACAAAATGAATTAAAATAAACAAAAAAGTACCTATAACTGTCTAGCTCTTTTTATCTGATTTTTAAATGAAGCCTATGAGACACATCAAATATTTCTAAATTGTTATTATTTATAATTTTCAGTGTTTGCTCAATGGGTGAGTGCATACCATAATTTGTACAGTGAACAGGTATCACATCGATATTTATTGATTTAAACACAAATACTAAATCTCGTTGGATTTTTAACAAATTCATGTTGAGTTTTTTTTTTAATATCTGCATAATCATGATTAATAATGAGTATGGTTAATTTATATGCACAATATCTTAAAAATTTGTTCTGAAATCTCTCCAATGTCGCAGAATGAACTTGGTATAGTGGTAACCATACAATAGATGCATATTCCATTTTATATATGACCAAAGCATAAACTGTTCTTAGAAAACAAACAGATAGTCTCGTGACATTTGCGAATGATAAAGCCTAAAGATTTCAATGAATTAACTTAAATATTTAATGTTGTACAAAACACAACTGTTCATCAAATGTGACTCCTAGTCTTTTATTGTTTTGACATAAGACAATTCATTATCATTATTTGTATAAGGTATCATATTTTTTAAAACCTCTATAAAAACTTATATAGCAGCATTTAATGCAAAATATTATTCTAACACTAAATATTTAACCCTTCTAAACCTTCTTGAATTAAAGTTAAATCATCATGAATTTATGGATTTAAATAATTTCAAATTTCTCCAAATATCAGGAAATCGCAAAACAATGAAGTCCTTGGGGTACTCATGGGGATGTCACATGAATTATATTTGTATTATATTATGGTCTGAAAGTACTGTATTATCTTACACCTGCTTACATTTTTCTGTAAAGGCCAAGATCCTTACTGTAAGGAGTGGCCTGGCGGCAGCTGTTAGGTTTTGTAAATATTTTATTTGTGTAAGATTTTTTATTTTTAACATGAATAAACAGTAATGATAGTTAAGAGATATAAACTGTGTATTGTTGCCTGTACCTTTAAGAGACAATACTTATTAATACTATAGCCCTGAATTATGAATTAAAATTTTATATTAACTTGGTTCCTACTGATATGATACGATTATGTTAGATATATGTATATATATATATATATATATATATATATATATATATATATATATATATATAACAGATTTCATCACATGATTTATTTATTTCCCATATTTTCATGGGCATTTGAGGTTGCAATACCAGCTTTATTGTTCTTCTTTGTTTTTGCGAATTGTGATGGTGAATAGGTAAGTTTCACTTAAACTAACTTTGTTTTTCATGATAAGCTCAAAAATAATTCAAAATATTTTCTTTTTTTCTGAAGCCACCTTGTGGTGGTATCATAAATGTGGTCAGAGCCAACACACTCAGAAAAGAAGAGGTCTGTACTTTAAATATTTTTGCTTTCTGTAGGATCTAATAATAGAGCAGTGAACTTGGAAAAACTTGAGGTAGAGAACCATAACTACAATGAATTGTTTGCCCTTCGAATAACTCTTAGAGGGAGATAAAGCATTGGAAAGCAGTAGTAGTAACAATGAAGTGCCTGGTGTTAACACCAGACGAGAAAAGTCTACTCCAGCTCCAAAATGGATTAAGCAGCCATTTGAAAGTAAAGAAATTCCTTCTTTGTTCAAATAAAGTTGTGGAACAAAAAAGGGGAAATCTAAATTATGAAGACACTCCTATGGATGAAACTGAAGAACTATCTGTTAGACAGTAAGATATACTCTGCTACCTTGTGAAGATAAAAGATTTGATGGATTTGATCACTGGTCAGTACATGAAGGTCAGAAAAATCCTAACACTTGTCTAGAATCCTGCCAAAGTCAATCAAGGATCCAATCAATTAAATGCAATAAATACTTATGTTTGCAAAAAAATCAAAATTGCTTTGTAACTAAATATATATTATTTAAACTTTGTAAAACCATCGTTAATGTAGAACTCATAAAACCAACATAGCTACGTCTGTTGGTTTATTAATCTACGTCTATTGGTTTATTAATATGTATTTAAATTAAACCTGTATATTGTGAAATTATTAAACTGGAAAATGAAGTTTGATATTAAGTAATTTTCTCATCAAAAACTAAGTGTTCTCAAGATATTTTTATTTGCTATAACATTTGTGATGATTTTGACTCCCATATAACACAATGGTGAGCATTCCTGAAATCCTGTTTTAGTGTCAACTTTTGTTTCATCACAAAGAAAAATCAGTATTTCTAATAATGTATTCATAAGTACTATGGTAAAATTCTATCTGCAAATTCAAAGAAATTTAGGCTCCAAAGTGTAAGATACAGTACTATATTGTTGCAATATTTAAGTGTTGCACTATATGTGTTCCAATTGATCTGAACTAAAATAGGTGCATAAATGAATATATTTCAGAAGATTTCCGTATGTCATACTGAAATACTCAGGAAAAGAGATCTATGAGCTAGCACATAATACATGTTTGCCTCTCATCAAGAGGCAAAAGAACAGTCGGTAGAAAATGAAAATATTAATCACCATCAGAAACTTAATTGAGAAAACTTCTGAGACTATAGTTCACACAAAATTAATATGAATTAAAAATAATGATTGAATCTGACTTACCATTCAATTGCTAAACGAGAAATTGCATCTATGTTAGCATCCAGATGATTCAGTAGAATGTTAATGAGTACAGTAGCAGTATCAACTGTGACAAACACTCCTGGACTATTAATGTTGTTTGCTAGCTCATGCATTGCTGCATAGCAAACATCTAGATTCGAAGTCCGAATCTGTAAAAGAAATAACTTGATACAGGTTCAAATTAAAATAAGAGTCACCTTGATACATTCAATGGCTTTAACAAAGTGCTATTTAATAGACCTAGAACATCAGTATTGGTGGGCAAGAAGTGGAAACAGTTACTCTAACAAAAACTAAGAGTCACATAGAGAAGAATCGAGCGATCCATGTTAGGAGTAACTCTGCAAGACAAAATAAAAAACGAAGAGGTCAGGAGAAGAACCAAGGTGACTGATGTCATCAAAAGGATAGCCAGACTAAAATGGAGATGGGCAGGAGACATAGCTAAAATGACAGATGGCGATATACCAAAGAGATTATTGGAATGGAGCCCAAGGGAAGACAAAAGAAGCATATGTCAACTTTCTACATAATGGGCTGACAATTTAGGATGAAAAAATAAAAACTGGATGAGAGTGGAGCAAGATAAACTGGGTTGGAAACAGGAGTAAGATGCATATGTTCAGCAGTGTCCTTTGAGGCTAGATGATGATATAATATACCAGATCTGTATAGTGCTGCAAATCTAAGTCATGAGTGATCATATGTTAAGAATTAATTAAATTAGGGAACAAGCTTAATATTAATAGTTTTGAATAAACTAAATATAAAAATATTCCCTGAAATAAAAAAAAAAATGTATAATTGGGGCTATAATTGTGAGTAAAAATGGATGTGTGTAATAACACATGAGAACAATCTAGGAGACATAGAAAACAATATGTACCTACCAGATTTTGATACCTTTCCGTTATATTACACATTGTGCTATGTAATGTAATGCTTTAATTTTTATTATTTTGCATTTGAAACCTTACAAAATGTTAGAAAGTAGATCGAACATTTGGCGGTAAAGGTACTCCTGCTTATTAGCATGTGACTACACTAACCATTAAAAATTAGGGAACGAGTATATTAATAGTTTTGAATAAACTGAACATGAAAATATTCTCCGAAATAATAAAACATGTATAACTTCGGCTATAACGTGAGTAAAAATGGATAATTTGTGGAACAAAAAGTGGGAACAATCTAGTGCTTAGAAAACAATATACACCTACCAGATATTCAAAGCGTTCTAGTGTAATTATTGACATGATTTTGTTTCATATACACCACTTTAACTTTTATTAGTTCACATTTAAAAAGCTTATAAAATTTTGAGAGCAAGTAAAACCAAAACCATTCTTCCCATCTTCGCTGGTCAAAGGTACGCCAACTTGTGAATACAAGCTGCTACAAGTACAAATGAAATGACCATAGGTGACCATAGTGTATTGTGTGAAATGACCGTTAAAAAACGTTAAAAAACCGGCAAATCCTTAAAACATAAAAATGTCAAATGTCACAAAGTAACAGAACGTTCATACCATTGCGCGAAAGTTGAATTGTCCCGCATTTAATACAATGACGTATAATTTTAATATTACCAAATATTAAAAAAATTAAAAACTTCTCATTGTTATTTCAAAAATATTACGTACAAATGTTAATATTTAAGGAGTATGAAGAAATTATTGAAATATGTACATATTTAATTCTTTAATTACTATTTAAATGGGAATAAGCCACATTTAAAGGTTAAAGTAGGTTTATTGACGTTTCATTTCTACTTTGGAAATCGTTCTCAAAATACAAACATTAGCGCTTTATTATTATATGATTATTATTATTTGAGAATGATTTACAAAGTGGAAATTGAAACGTCAATAAACGTACTTTAACCTTTAATTGTGGCTTATTCTCATTTAAATAGTAATTACTTTAAAATGCCATAAGAAAATAGTTTCAGAACAATTTTAATTCTTTAGTTTTATGTGGTTTTATGTTTAATAGATAAATAGATATGTTTAATAAAAGATTTGATAAAATTATAAAACCTACGTTTATTAATAATTAGACAAAGGTGACGATAGAGTTATAAAAGATAAATATTAAGTAAAAGGTTAATATCCTTAAAATTCGTCAAATACCTGGCTTTGACGATGCTCCGACAAACAAGTGCAAACAACTTATTTCTTTCACTTTCACCTTTCACCATTCGTGTTCACAGAATGATAGAATACCATGGTAAAATAAAATTCATCAGAGATTATTGTACCATGATAGAATACAATTCACCACAAACCACACGACCAACATAACAACTAACCACACTACTGCGCACTGCATCTTGTCACAGCATCTTGTGTTTAGGTTTTTCTGTGGTTTTTGGTATGAATTTAAAAAATTATCAAGGACGTTCCTTATGCCACCGACCGAACCAGACTGGACCGAACAAATGCTGTCGCTGTGAGTTGTGACATATGGAATTATAGATAGAATAGATCAAGGGCTAGCTGAAAAGCTGAAATAGTCGTCATAGAATAGTCCTGTATATACTACATATATTATTATTTATTACTGGAATAGTCGTGTAATAGGATTGGAAAAAGCGAATGGCGTAAGAAAACATTCTTCAACACTTGTAATTTAATTACGTGAATTTTCATCACTACCAGTATCAGAAGAAAACTATTTTACTGCTCTAAAGTCGGGTCCGGTACTTTCTGTTCTGTACTACCTAATAATCGTACGATTATTAAATCATATTCTCTGTTCTTTTTTATGGTGTTGAATAGTTGACCTTGACGAAGATATATGCAGAAAATTGGAAGCATTCGAGCTGTGGCTAAATCGGAGAACACTTCAAATCCCGTGGACCACTATCAAATCTCGAAAGTTACAATATTTCGAAAACATTGTGCGAAATGAATCTAGATGCGCCCTTCTACAAGCCATCCTGCAAGGAAAAATATTTGGAAAACGGGGTCCAGGAAGAAGAACATCCTGCAGATAAGGTAAATATTGCCATGATTATCGCCAATATTCGTGACATCAAGAAGAATATGCTCAAAAATAAATCACCTAAGTGAATACATAAATAGAAGCTACTAATATAATATAGTTGCTTACCTGGTGTACTAGCATTGTTGTCAAGTAACTCCCATCCTATGGTATATATGGAAGAATTCTCTAAATTGCTTCTGCGAATTCCTCTTACCTGGTTGGTAATCATTTCTGAAGATGTATTGAAGTCTGCATTCGAAGTTGAAGCAGAAGTACTGGGTATCACCTCAATCTCAACTTCACCTTCAGAATCACTGCCCGATGAATGTCCTTGATCAACTGTATTAGGCACATACTCGTCAACTTCATTATCGGATACATCTTCATCAGATAACTCTGCTACAGATTCATCTTCTGACAAATTCTGTAGACACTCTAATAGCTCCTGCTGAGTCAAATATCGGCGAGACATGATAACAGCAGAAATAATAAAAATCACAATGTAAAATTAATCAAAATACAGATTGAACATCCATCCATCCAATGGCACTACAGCCCAAGACGGGCCTTGGCCTCCTTCATTAAACCTCTCCAAACATCTCTATTTACTGCTGTTCTTTTCCATGAACGCGTTTTTAGGAGATTTTTGGCATCCTCATCTACCTCGTCTTCCCATCTCTTTTTTGGTCTTCCAACAGGTCTTTTTCCTTGCATTCTTGCGTTTAGTAATTTTCTGGGGATTCTGTTCTCATGCATGCGGGCCACATGCCCTGCCCATCGTAATCTCTACAGTCTAGTGTATTGTGCTAGTGTTGGTTCAGTGTATTGTTCGTATATTTCGTTATTATATCTAATTCGCCAGTTGTTATTTTCCTTTATTGGACCCAGTATTCTACGCAATATTTTTCTTTCGAACACGTCTAATGCATTGGTAGATTTCTGTGTTATAACCCATGTTTCACACTCATAACTTACTATGGGTCGGATTATTGTTTTATATACAGATTGAACATGCAATTGCAAAAAGTATACTCAAACCACATAATGACAAATATTTTCGATGTATTTTATACATAAAATAAGTAAAAACTTCCCAAAAAAGTAGAACAAAAATTAGACTACCTCGTCATTAGGATCGCATTTTTCTAGGTAGACATCAACATAAATATATTCAAAATGTAATTATACTAAGTACCTGTAAAAGAGAAATAATATTTTTTTTTGAACCTATTCTCTATCCTTCCATTGTTGGATATAGGTCTCCCCCAGTTCTCTCCATCTTTCCCTATCTTGAGCTGTTCTCTGCCATGTGGGACCTCCTTGTTTCCTGATGTCATCTTTCCACCTCATCTGTGGTCTGCCTCTTGATCTCTTTGCATTGTATGGACGCCACTTTCCGATGGCAACATTTGTCTCTCCATCGCTCTTTGTGCCTTCCTTATCCTATCCAAATTGGCCTGTGTAAATGTCCATGTCTGTGCTCCGTAGGTGAGCACCGGTATGATACAGGAGTTATATACCTTGCTTCGTAAGTATAGAGGGATTGTTTGATTTTTTAGAACGTAAGAAAGTTTGCCGAACGCTGCCCATCCCATTCTTACTCGTCTCGATATTTCGGCTGTTTGATTTTCTCTATTAGCTCTGATTGCTTGTCCTAGATAGATATACTCATTTACCTGTTCTATTTGTTCTGTTTTTATTTTTATTGCCTCTTGGTCTTCCGTGTTTGTCATTACTTTTGTTTTGTTGAAGTTAATTTTTAGGCCTTTTTGCAGTGATTTTTCATGAAGTTCATTCAGCATTAATTCCAGTTCTTGTCATTCCGAGGAGATCAGGAGTATATCATCCGCATATCTAAGGTGATTTAGGTATTTTCCGTTAATACATATTCCTCTGTTTTCCCAATCTCGTTTAACTTTTATATTATCCGTTATTAATTTGTCGTCCAGAATTACGGTCATGGTTGCGTTTTGGTAAATATCATGTATCAATTGTCGGTATCTTGAATCTATTCTACTATTGACCAGAGCTTCTTCATATAGAAGAAATAATAGAAATAATATAATAATAATTAATAATAATAATAACGCTTCTTCTAGAAATAATATAATAATTAATAATAATAATAACGCAGTGCAGTAGAGAGAACAACATTGCCGCGGTATCAAGGAGGAAGAGGACTTATGGATATAGGTGAGCAATTAGATAAACAAATTGCTAATTTAAGAACTTATTTTCAGGTACAGGCTGAGACATCTACTTTACATCGAGCAATTTCCGCAGTAGATGACACAACGCCGCTTAAATTGAGGGAACAAGAAATGCGCATAAACCATCTGACTAAGCAAGAAAAAATGCGCACCTGGATGAGTAAACCTCTGCATGGGCGACATCTCAATGAGATCAGCTAAGAATATGTCGACAATACATTGTCGAACTATTGGTTGACATCAGGAAAGATGTTTCCCGAAACTGAGGGTTTCCTACTTGCCATTCAGGATCAGGTAATTCCAACTAAAAATTACTTAAAATATATTGTTTTAAAGATCCCAAAGTCCAAAATGACAAATGCCGATATGGATGCAAAGCCCAAAAAACCATCCAACATCTTACCGGTGGCTGCCAGGCATTTGTCGGTACCGATTGTAAAGAACGCCATGACTCAGTAGGAAAGATTATCCACCAAGAACTAGCTGACAAACTGGGACTTCTCCAAACCGACCATCTTCCTTATTATCAATATATCCCTGACAGAATGCTTGAAAATGACAACTACAAGCTATACTGGGACCGCACTGTGCTTACAGACCAACCAGTGGCCCATAATAGACCGGATCTCATACTAGTGAATAAAAGTACCAGGCAAACAACACTTATTGATGTGGCAATACCTAACACTAACAATTTGCGTGTTAAATACAACGAAAAGATCGCCAAGTATAGAGATCTGGAAATACAAATCACGAGACAATGGAGAATGGAAAGTACCCAGACAGTATCTATTGTTCTATCTACTACTGGTGTTATTCCTAAAAACCTCCTAGACAACATAAAACAACTGACTTTAAATGAACATCTCTATAAGGCCATGCAGAAAGCTGTACTCCTCGCGACGTCCAGATGTGTACGAAAATTTCTGGGAGATACTCCAACATACCAAGTCACCTAGGGCTCGATAACACGGAAAGAGTCCCACCAGAGCTCAATCCTTTTGATACCGTAGGTATCTGGGATGAGTGAATTTTCCACTTAGAGGGAGTGTGAGCCGTATGGCTAAATCTGTGATAATAATAATAAAGTAAATAATAAAGTCCCAAATCATCAATTTTGTAAAATAAATATGAATGAGTAATACTCTAGACTAATGAGGGTCGAAAATAGAAAGCAGTCAAACTGCTATATGGTAGTTCTAGGTGTATGTTACCATATCTTAAAAAGCAATTACGCTAAGTACCTATAAAACAAAAATTATAATCTTCAAATAGATCTAGGAAAAGTCATGAGTTATCAAGTTTCTAAAACATTTATGAATAGGTAATACAGAGTGTCAAAAATGAATAGCAGTCAAAATGACCGCTCTGGTGCTTCTAGTGTTAAAGAAAAAAAAAACAACTTTTAAGTTGTATTGTCTACTTTGGGAAGATTTAAGTGATTTCCCAAAATTTTGAGATAAAAGGTGAACGATGATATAATACTATATGTAATAAATAAAAACAACAGGTACGTACAAAAATATTTATTTTATTTTTTAACACGCTTAAAACATTTAAAAACAACATACAAAAATATTTATTTTATTTTTTAACACACTTGAAAACATTTAAAAACATACAAAAATATTTATTTTATTTTTTAACACACTTAAAACACTTAAAAACTAAGAGTAAATATCAGACTTGGTCTCTACGTACAAAAATATTTATTTTATTTTTTAACACACTTAAAAACCAAGAGTAACTACAAACTCAGACTTGGTCTTTATATAATGACGAACTAAACATAAAAAAACAATATCAAAACGAAAGTTATTAAATTTAAGTTGTACAGAATGTATTAATATCACTTATTCATATTCGATAAACTTTGGTAGTTCATAGAACATCAGAAGCCACGCTTAAGTTTTATAAAGTTTAAAAAGGGTAAGATTATTTTATTCTCTGTATTTACTGCAGGCTTCTAATTGTTCTATAGTTTCATGTTAATAAATAGCTAGTTAACAACACAAGTGATGAAGTCACACTTTTTGATTATTTCTGTAATGAGAAAAAAATATTGATTTTTGAAAATGTCTGAAATGATTCAAGTAATAACAATCAATTTTTATTTTAACTCACTGTAAATTGATCTAAGTCAAAAAATATCGTCAAAGTTAGTCAAATTTTTCAAATATCTAATAGAAGTCAAGATCTTTTACAAAGAAGAGAGACACACAAATTATAGTACACCAGATCGAAGAGGAACGTCTAAAAATAAAACCAAAGATGAAGAGAAAATGTGTAACGCAAAATATTTTTAAGTCTTTATGGCGAAAGGTTGACAGAGAGTTACTAAAGAACAATTTTCAACACTTACCATAGCAAGGAGGACGTTTTACCAAATGTATAGGATGATGAAAGTGAATATCAGTGTCAACTATTAAAAAAAATCTGATCAAAAACGTTTTAGTTCCATTTTTGTAAAGTTATGCCATTTTTTGATAAAAGAAAACTGTTAAGTTCATTAAATTCCAAATGTTTTAATTAATATGGTCTATATCAAAAAAATCCTCTATGAAGGAATAACTTATCACAAAACAAAAACATAAAAACGCGTTTTAATCATCTTAAAATTTAAGTCGCAAAATGTTACTTGGATCATTTGTGTTCTTAACTAGCTTAACTAACAAACTTATAGACTATGAGTTAGTAAGCGTAGTAGATTAATAAAAATACTGAGTATACCACAAATTATCACAGTAAACATTAATTACCTGTTTGGTAGATCAGACTCATTTATTATTTTTCAAATATCAAATCTTAAGAACTGCTCTTAAGGAAGCTCTAGATTTATATCAACATAACTATATAACTACATAATAGTACATGAAAGAACACAAAGTTGAGCAAATTTAACAACGATAAAAAATTATTCCAGTTACGGAGATCCACTAAAATGTGGAACTTTCAAAAGGCACTTAATTGGACGATTTTAAGTTATGTTCATTGGCACGTTGCTTATCTAATCTCCCGTAATCAAATTATGAGTCTAGGTTAAGTCTGAGGTCAAAAAAAAGTGAAGTCAATTCTGGATGAATTGTAGGTTTTTTTCTCCATAAAACAGCTTGTTGTTTTATGGTTTCACATCTTACTTATAGACTCAATATATTTATAGTTACATTAACAAATAAAAAAAATCACATAAATTCTCACTAAACACATCAATTGTGTCCATGACATACAGTAACGCGACAGATCGTAACCCCACAAATGATAGCAGCGACACTTCCTAACATTAACGGTTTATCAACTGTCTAGTTGATAAAGTTGGGAATTTCTAAAGATTTTTGGCTTAAATTTTATCTACTTACATGGAAATGGTAGATTATTTTTATTTTACACAATTTTCAAAATACATTTTTCCATTATGAAATATTCCAAATATGAAATGAGGTAAAAATGTTCATCCTAATTGGTTCGTTAAATTAATAAAAGTAATTTTGATTGCAACTATAATAAAAATAATTGGTTTCACATCAAACGATAACAAAAATACACAAAATAATCCAATTTTGACGTTACAAATATTATACTGTTACAAATAGTTGTAGTTACGAACCGTCGATGTTATGGATTTGTCCGTTATCACTTGTGGAGTTATCAATTTTCGCTTTATGACATGTCACAAAACCATTAAGTAGCTATTGGTACTGATATTTTAGAAAACAAACATTAATTAACAAATACTTACAGACTTGTATAGAGAGTATTGAGAGTTTGTATAAGGTAAAAATGTAAGTTGTTGAACTGAAAATGTATACCCTTTTAGACATACTAATACTAATAAACACACTAATACACATAAAAACACTAAAACGAAAAATAACTGGGTATGGTCTAAACCGGTATAAAATGTCATTCAACTACTTTGTCAGACTCTGTTATATTGTACTAATACAATAAAAACTTTAAAAGATAAACTTTAATATGTAAAAAAAACCTTAGTATAATTAAAATCTAAATATTGCAATAAAAAATAAACATTGCAGTGAAATAGCTAGTATAGAGAGCTATAATCACCATCATAAAATTGCACTTTTTATTCATTTAAATCATTTTTAATTTCATTTAAAATCATTTAAAATTTCTTGGAATATCGATGTTAACTCAGGTGTGTTCATAACTTGGTTAACAAATTCGTAGAGGTAAGTAATCTTAGCTAAAAAAAAAAAAAATAATCAATCATAAATAATTTTCCCATGTACAATACTACATTAATATTTTCCAATAGTTATAGGTTTTAAAATAACGTTTCAAATGTATCAGTTGCCAAAATCAAAATCGCTGACATGTGTGCATGTCAGCGATTTTATGTCGTTCTCTGACTACATAATGATAATAAGGCTTTGCGGTTCTTTAGTAGGAGGAGTAAGGCCCATAGAAAACGTACCAAAAGTAGAGTGAACAGCAGAAAGTTCACTTACGATGCAGTAGTTCGTATGCAGCTACGTGCCTTCTGAACGAGATTGAACAAAGTTTTTGCACTGGTTAAAAAAGACATAAGATTTAGCAAACATGTCACGCACAACAATGTGGAGAATACTCCATGAAATGAACTTTGTTTTTTTTTTAACGAGGAGTCAAGCATGATTGAACGGCTCGATATTCTAAAATGGAGGCACCAGTATTTGCGTGAGATAAAAAAATTTCGTTCTCAAGGATACACCGTCGTTTATTTGGACAAAACTTGAGTGAATGTTGGACATGTTTCCAAAGAATGCAAGGACCTCTCGGTGACTTCAAGCAGGGATGCGTTTGTTAAGGGGTTGTCAACAAGCCTAAAATAGCCGACACAACGAGCCCCCCGATTTGTTATAGTGCATGCGGGTAGTGAATTGGGCTTTGTAGAAGGTGCTGCTTTTTGGTTTTTAGCTAAAAAACTCAGTGGACTATCATGATGAGATGGATGGTCCTATATTTGAACAATGGTGTAGAAAAGCTGCTTCCTAATCTTCTTCCAGGAGAAAAAATTAAGATGTGATTGTTATAGAGAAAGATATCTTTTTTGAAGATTATTTAAAATCAGAGCTCATCGAATTTGTAAACACATACAAAGAAAAATACATAAAAAGACATATTGAAAAAAGAAGGAAAAAAAATACATAAAAATAAGTTGTAAAATTTCATATACTTCAATCAGCCACGAAACTTCCCTTTGCCCTAAGACTAATTGTTGATTTTGTATAGTTAATTCGGGGTCACTGAATTTAAATCTGAAATCGAATTGATTCTACATACTATTTTCCTTATATTCCACGCTTTAATTTTCCAAATGATATGCTCATTTGTTTCTACTTGATGTGTGTCTATGCTTTTCATTCTTTGATTTAATTTATTCGTGTCCGTTATCATCGCCAGGGTTTTGCCAGTTTTGCCTTTGTCACATGCCTTGTTTTTTGCCACAAATTGTCTCCGTTTTTCCTACTTCTTTTCCTTTTTCACTAGTCCCCATTTTTTGTATCCCAATATTTTTAAAAATGCCTTTCTTTTCCATCTCCATTTCTCTCTGTCTACTACTATAGTTTTAAAACCTACTTTTATCGTTGTTCCTGAGTTATTTACATTTTTTAGGATCTTAGGATTTTTGGTTGTTAGAGACAATTTATGAATACCTTTTCACCCTTTAACTTTTCAGCAGATAATTTTTTCTACATTTACTTCCTCGTTAAGATTACTCTTATCAAATTTGCCTTATCTTCTTATTTCTCTTTATCTTCATCAATCTTTAATCCAGTTACTATATTTATTTTCCAATCTATTTTACACCTCATTTAGACGTTGCTATGTTTTTCTAATTACTTGTTTATTGCCAGGTCTGAATTTTTAAATTCTCTTCTTTATATTCTGTTTTCTTTCTCTTAGCACTTTGTACATTTCTCTTAATAAGTGTGCATCACCTACGTTCTTCTCTCTTTCGGCTAATGGAATTTTAATATATTTTTACTCTTCGTAAAGGGAGATTTCTTTTAATTTTCCATTAATCTGACGAAATTTAAAATTATATAATACGTAAAAAATAGAAATTTTTAATGACAAAAAACGTTAACTTACAATTTCATATTAAAATCAGCAACCTCGAATTACTTATATTTACACAGAGTAAGAGTATAAATACAACAAATTTTCAGTTCTAATCTAAAAATTTAAAAACCTTATCACTTACTTGCGTCGGGTAAGCCCATAAAAGATATCATAGCTCTCATAGCTGATTTTTTAGCAGCTATAATTTTGTTAAATTGATCGTTGGAAAGTCCATTTGGTGACTCTTTAAATGTAGCTCTCATATAATTTAGCCAGTTGGAATTCTCCAACTCTAAAACAAAAATTTATACTTTTAGTTCAAATAGAAGTTGTGCCCATCGAAAGCAAAACTTTCAAAAATAAAGAATATTAATTATTAGAATTAGTAATTATTAGTAAAATAATTTTTATGATTGGATTTAAAGCAGTTCTAAGCAAAACAAAATATTCAGAGGATATAAAAAGATTTCAGGGCTATATTGCCGACGCGACGTCGTGTATGGAATACATAGTCATAAAAGTAATAAATGGAATAGAAAACAATAAGTGATAATATGTACTATAGCACAAATTAGACCAGAAATAATATATCAACAAGAACAAGCTATTTTTCCTGTATTATTAAAAACATGTTAAAATGGCTTTGAAACGCGAAAAAACTTGTACAGTGTCAAAAAAGTGGAATGTGCAGTGGAAGCTCATCAGGCTATGAAACATTAAAAAAAAGTATACAGATATGGTAATAATTTACTACCTAATTATATGATACAATCGGTCTTCTCTAGCGGTTCCAAAGATTACTTATTCATTTAAGAACTAGGTCACATAGCAATGTCACAAAAGTATACAAGATGACGGGAGTACACAGACACCATCATTATACTCAATTAGATCAGGATCAATCAGATCTGACCAAAAAAAAAATGGAACAAGCAGTAGATGAGGCTCCTATGGGAGTTTCAGACTTCTACAGTTCCATAAAAAAGCGTTTAGCACAGGGACTCTGTGGGTGACAGAATATACCAGAAAATGGATTGTTGATGTAGTGAGGACTACATCAACGCTACTGTTCATGGAAGTGGATACCAGGATGTAGATTTCGGCTAAATAGAGTACTCATATTCAAACCTATTTTTCCAACTTCATTGAAACAGTTTTTAGCAGATGCTCGAGGTTTGGCAGATTATTGCATAAAATTAGTGTGATCTGCATAACTGATATTAATTAGTTTTAACAGATCCTCTAAATACTAAATGATTAATAAATAGTTTACAATAAATTTACATCTTAAAAAAATCACTTACTCTTTGCAACCTGATCAGGGCACTTTTCTGTCAATTTAGTTATTATATTGTAAATTATGATTTGAAGGTCATGGCTTTCCATATCATATTTTAAAGTAGACTCCACCTGGTTAATTAAAGTATGTTTGTTAAGTTTATTATAAAAAGTATTTAGCAAATTAAACAGGCATTCATACGCTGCCTTTCTCACTTCTAAATAATCGATTTGTGATTTCACAGTTGGCTGAAAAATAAAATTTGGAAATTATTAAATAATTCTTAACTTTGCTTATGCATATCTTAATTGTTTGATCAAGCAAGAACCAGTAAGAAAACATAATGAGTGTTAAAGAATGTTCCCAGCAAATAGGAAAAGATATCCAAAAGTTGTAAATCTTTAATTATCTTCCGGTAATATTGGTGACCCATGTGTTCCAATCCAAAACACACACTGGAGATCTAAAATCAGGGTCTACAAGAATCGGATCTACAGATATGTTATGGATGCGATATGTCTTTAAAAGAAAAATCCTAAGGAAGATATTTAGTTCTATTAACTAAAACGGAGTATGGATGTCGAGGTACAATCATGAACTTTACCAACTGTTCAATCATTATTCGTCAAGACTTCGATGGACTGGTAGTGAGGATATAGACTGAAAATTGCCTAACAGAGCCCTACATAGTAAAATGTAGAAGAAAAATGTTTTTTCTTCTTAAAGAAAGGTTTGACAAAAATAATGACTTACCAACTGCCATTTATAAACAAGGAATTCCACAAGATTGATAGAAACACTCACAAGAAGGGATTCGAATATGACAACAATATGCATGTAAAGGACTTATGAGAAAAATTGAAAATAGGAAACAATTACATTAACAATATTCAAAACAACGAACACACTCTGATCTATCCTATCTAAAACCAAACCAAAACACACAAGAAACTAAGTGTCAAGATAAACGTGAGTGAAACATCAAGAACAGAGATCCCAGATATGCAAACATGCCTGGGATAATAAGCAGAGTAACTGAAAAGGCACATCATCAATAATCATGAAAAAGAGACAAGAGTCAACAGACATGAAAAAGAGGAGTCAAAGAAGCAGCTCTCATCCTACTGAAAAATATGTAGCAAACCCATCGCAGATGGGTTTTCCGATGGCATTGTTCCGATGGAACAATGCCATACAAAAAGTGGCAAGTGCCCGGAAAGTGGCGTCCATACAATGCAAGGAGATCAAGAGGCAAATGATGAGGCACAGATAAGGTGGAAAGATGACATCAGGAAACAAGGAGGTCCCACATGGCAGAAAACAGCTCAAGATAGGGAAAGATGGAGAGAACTGGGGGAGAGCTATATCCAACAATGGAAGGATAGAGAATAGGTTCAAAAAAAAATTAATATGCACTTACCTTTAAGGCAACCTGTTGATAGATTATATCTAAATAGTTGTCGAGTTGATCGTTAACTAGTGATGGCTTATTTTGAACAACTCTAGTAAATGCTTCTAGCGCAATTCTTCTTACATGTAAATTTTGATCTTGCAAAGTGACTAGAAACTCTCCAATACATTCGGGTAATAAGTCATCGATCGGGTGAGGCTAAAAAATAAATACAGAAGATAGTTAAGTAGTTATATCAAATCAATTATATGCTAGAAATAGTATCAAAAAAATATTGTTACATAAAAAAACTTCATTAGTAGGCCAATCAAGTTGGTTAGTTAGTAAATAAGCCTTTTTTATCACAAGTTGACTGGTTGTCAGTTGAAATGCGGAATATAAGATACTACAAAAGACATTCATTAACTTTTTAGTGGAACTATTTTTAAATAAACAATCAAAACGTCGAATCAGTTATTTTGCCTGATAACTTTCTATTTAGAGATTTGACACATAATAAAAAGCAACTTAAGAAAAAGATTGTACATCTCGTAGTCATTAGCTGCTTTGTTTTGCATAATTTTGCAATGAAAATACGAGAATTGTTATTATTGTATTGGTTTAAAAAAAAAAGGAAGAGCTAATTTAGTCCAGTAGAACCCGAGATGTCATTTATTTTCTAAGCGCTCTATTTTGAAACTGTTGGATTTCTTGGAGAGCGCGGCTGGCATTTGAGTCGGCTACCAACTTTTACTCTAATGGAATGCAAAGTATTCTTTGCGTTCCGCAAAGAATATATTTTAGCGAACTTTTCTTATAAAAGATCTAGGAGATCTAGATCTACATCTAGACCTAGACTTAAAAGTAGGTTTTTTTAACAAAAGGATTTTTAATCAGATTTCCGAATAAATATGTATTTTTTGCAGTTTAATTTGAACGAAATTCTACAGAGTTATTGTAAATGTTCATAACCTTAAAACGTGCACATATAGTATACATTTGTAGTATACATTTAAACACATTGTAATAAATAACAAAAAAATTATTAACAATATTAAAAAACAACGATTTTGTTCTTCATTTTTCAATAAGTTTTTTGTTTATTAACCAATTTTAAGTTAGCACATCTCATTTTGTGTATCTTTTTTTTTCAGAAAAAGTTGTCTGTTGACAACTCTCTATAATAATTTCACTAAAAAAATTGACGAATCCCTAGACGAGTCTTCTTGTAATATCGCATACTACAGACTACAAACTACAGACTTCAACGGCCAAACCAGTCTATACACTTGTGTCTAGTAAGAAGTATTATTATGTATTTATAAGAGAAACGATATCCAAAAAAAATCTTTCGTCTAAGAATTATTTATAATCTATTATAATAAAACTGCCAACATGAAAGATATCCAGTTGAAAGAACTACCTCGATAGATAAAATATTGAGACGTCCCAGTTGTTATTTAAATTTCGCACAAGTGCTGGAATAAAAGGCATAATTAGTCAACAGAGTGTATCTTAATAATATTAGATATGCTGAAAACACAGTTTCTGCAGAAAACTTAGGGATTAAAAAGAAAGTCATGCATGTCAGATATGTTCTGTGCCGGGCACTAGAGTTCCTAGTAATAATGCAGGAGTTCCTAGTAATAATGTGAAAACTGTAAGATACATGCAATTCGAAACTAGTGTAAATTGCATGTACATATATAAGTATTATTTTATAATAATTATTAATTAATCTCTGGATCAAGTAACAGGGAAATTCAAACGTGACAGTCATTAACTAGTTAGGGCATGTGTAGGCAACAAGGCCGAAATGATAAGAATCTAATATGAAGAAATGCTGACGATCAAGTTTCTGGAACGAATAGAAGAGGAAGATCACGGAAGGTGGTAGGGGACGGTTAGATAAGATATGTCTGTGAAGTAGATGGGCAAGATATAAATTTTAATTAGGGAGAAATGTAATAACGGAAGCCAAGTACGGATAAAGTGAAATAAAAATGAAAAAATATTGTCAAATGTCACACTAGAGTTCAATCCTTTTGATATCGTAGGTATTTCTGATAGGTGAATGGAGGAAATGAGAGCCATGTGACTTAAATCTGGAATAAACTTACCTGATCAGTAATCATTAGTTTAAAAGCTCTCATCACTGAAGCTCTGGTTAACGAAGACTCAGATCTTAGTACATATTGCCATAATGGCAATATAATCCTACCATTTATTAATGTTAATTTCCCCAAAATATATGCAGCGAGGTTTCTGACTTCTTCTTCGTCACAACAGCAGCGTTCGCATAACTGTTTGAAAATTGGAATAGCAAATGGTATTATATGGGGTATTCTATAATCAAATTTTAGCAGTCCGTCTACTAGCTACAAATAAATGAACAGTAATTTAGATTTTGTAATAATGTAATTTGCTTTTAGCAAAAACTTGCTATTGCTGTGATGAAATAAATATATGGCATTGGAGCACAAATTAGTCACTTTTCACGTCTGAATCGGAATCACTATAACAGTTATTCCAGTATCTATACTTGCTATAGATACTCCAGTATCTATCCCGATGCAAACCAAAAAGTCTAATATCTCCTCTTGAACCTTTTGGGGAACCTCATGAAAGTGATTATGCAAAAAAGTCTCATGGAAATTCGCCTTGTCTACATGAAGTGTGATATGGATAATAGAAAAATAGGTCTAATAGAAAAAAAAAATTATGAAAAAATTTAGTAGGCAAAAAGAACATTCACATTGAGCTCAACTAATTTGGCAACGACTCCACGTTTCTTGATTTTGGTGGCTATTAAATTCCATATTAGTTAACCACAAAACTGATAATCAGAAAAACAAAGTAAATTGTGGACAATTTCGTTGGCTCGTTAGATTAAAAAAAAAAAGAAAAAAAAAGTTTATTACCCATTGGCATATAACAAGCATGTGCCTACAACAATAGAAAAGAAAAAAACAACTGATGGACTATACAACTTAGTACTATAGGTACATGTAAAAACAAATTTCAAGTAGATTATTACTTTAAACATCTGTAAAACAATTGCATTTTTTGTAAAATTTTTAAAGTGTTTTTCTCATTTTCGCCTTTTATGACTTCTCTCTTCTCTCTCTTCTTTTACATGAATTTTATGTAAAAGTTTATTCACAATCTTACAGATCTTAAAAATTCGCAAAATGGCAAAATGAAAGGTTATATATTGGTGATTGGAGACATTTATCCCTAAGATTTATATCTCTAATAAATAATCCATGTCATAATATATTACCATAATTACTCAAACAACAAATAAGTGAAAATATTAAATAATATACATACCTCTCGTAACGAAACCAAGAAAAACAAGTGTGTTTCAGGTTCTCGCCTAGCTTCTCCTTCTAAAATAAATGGTAAATAACTTGAAACGTTGCAAATACAAATTTTGCCAAGCGCAATACTTGCAAGTTGTTTAATTTCATCGGATTTAATGAAAAATAATGCGACGATCAGCCAATGTAAAGGTTTTGATATTTCCCTACAACAGAAATTAACATAACGTTTAAATGTGATATTTCATCGCCTAGGAGGTTGATAGGACTAATCCACAAATTTTTCAAGTCAGAGATAAGTAAAGGAAGGAAGTAAGGATCACACATCTTACGGAAAATGTAATGTTACTCAAATGCAATAAAATTTACATATTCGTCTCGAAATTACAATCATTTCATATCATTACGTCAACTCTCAATTTTGATTAATAAGAAATTAATCAAAAAATCAAATAATAAAATAAATCAAATAAAATAAAATAAAAAGTAAATTGATATAAATCAATCCAAAATCAAATGGATATGGTTAGGATATGAAACGAGATTTGTCAGTCAGTCAGTCCATAAATCTTTTTGCACATATTAATAAGACAAAGTACCACTAACAAAAAACATTACAATTTACGCAGTTATTCATCAAAATTCTGAGATGGCGGTACATGAATTGTAATTTCGAAACGAATCTAATTACGTAAATTTTATTGCATTTTAGTGACATCATATTTTCCGTAAGACGTGTGCGATCTCCATTCTCAAAAGGTATCATATCATCTAGTAAGGCATTTTGTAAATAGCTACTAGCATTTACTCGTTTAAAAATGCTTTGAACAAATTTTCTCATTGTGGATTAAGCATATTTATTGACTTCCCCATTTTATTAATAGAAAAAAATGTAAAGATATTTATAGCTTGATATTTTTTTGAGTATGGTATTACGCATGTTCAATAATCCAGCTCACGAGTTATAACCAACGCACATAGTTATAATGTGGCACAATTTAGTCGCGGGATATATCACTTATCACAGATTGGGACTCGTGGGGTGTAATCATCAGCATTCTCAGCGTATTCTACCGATTATGGTGTAGCCTCCCTTTGATATTTGTTCTTTATTTCTACAACCGATTGTCTAATATTCGATTTTCTGTGCCATGTTATACCGGCTTGTTTTCTTATACCCCATCTTAAACCTTAAACTTGGAATTCTTCTCTCTTGATGCTTCTTTGATACCACAGTGTAATTCTGGTGGACCAGTTCTTCTCGCTAAATGCCCCCCGCCCCCACTGACATTTTAAAGATTTTGAGGATTACATCAATGCCCTCGGTTTTCTGTCATTCTATTTTTTTTTTTCGATCTCTCTTTGTTTTTTTTTTATTTTTTGTTATTTCATTAAGCGATGCAGGGCATATAAACAACGATAAATTTAACAGATAATTGTTAAAGATGTTCCAAATGAGTTTTCTTTTCTCAAATATTCGTGTTTATTGCATAGTAAATAAATTAATGTTATCACTGAATACATAGTAAGTGAAAAAAGAATATTTTATGCATAAATGTTCTTCAGTTCTTCAGAAATATTTAAAAACTAACCGAAACTAATCTTTATTTCGTCTGGCGACGTTATCGGCAGCTCATACCGGTTCGGACACGATTTAATCTTCCTGCATCGCTTAATGAATTTTATGTATCGCTCCATTGATCTTTGAGTGACCGAGTTTATCTCTTTCTTTAGTGGTTATGTTGAGGTATGTTTCGCAGCTGTATGTCATAATTGGTACAATGCTTTTTTTCCTCCAGGTGTAGTGGCATCCTCGATTTGAATATAACTGCATTTTTGACAAAAGATGCATACAACACATATAAATATATATATTACTATAAAATGAAGCAAATGAATTGCAAGCTCTTCTATCTACAACTGTAGATGGTAAATCAAAAACTTTCGTGAGAAAATGAACTGTTGAAAACTCTATTAAAAAAAAAGAAGTTCATTTGTCTGCGGATCTGTAATAGCACCCTTTAAGACTGTTTTTCATTTTCAAAGAACAGAGTAAAAAATTTTCAAGCTGATAAAGCCTTTTTCTCTGGTATAACTAGGGACAAAATATCGAAAACATTTAAAAACTTTCATTTGAACAAAATTACCATATTCAAATATTCAAAGTATATATATATATATATATATATATATATATATATATATATATATATATATATATATATATATATATAGAGAGAGAGAGAGAGAGAGATGATAAATATGCAATAGAAGAAACTTACAAATTAAGACGATTAAGCTACGATTAGACAGGATATTGTAAATTGTACAGGGCATTGTAAAATCGTTCAACTGACTGAAAGAGATTTAGTAGTAGGTAGAAGTCCTAGGCATCATTGGGCAGTATACGCCCAATTTTTACGGAACTATTGGGTTAAAGAAGCTGTGTTCACAATGGGTACCACATTCGCTAACAATGGAACCCCGAACACATTACACACCATTACACAGAACAACATTAAGAGCGTTTTTGAATGGATATAGTGGAATTTATGCGTCGATTCATCACTATGAATGAAACTTATGTCTATCACTACGATCCTGAATCAAAACTAAATCAATCTAAAGAGTGGTTTGAACCTGGTTCTCAGCATCGGAAACGAGTTGATGTTCAGAAATCGACCAAGAAGGTGTTGGCAATAAGTTTATTTGGGATGCAAAGGAAATTTTGTTTGTTACTTGCAAACTAGTAAAAGAATAAATTCTGAATAGTTCTTATAAACTTTTAGACCAGCTGAATGACAAAATTCGTGAAAAAAAAACGGTCTGCAGAACAAAAACATCCATTTTCATTTTAACAATAGGTAAAATACATGAATAAAAGTTCAATTTGTTTAAGCATTAACCGTATACACCAGACCCCATACCCATACCATATGTTTCAGTACCTGTGCAAAAAAAGTGCATGATTGTTCAAGGAGACTATACTTAAAATAAACTGCATTTCAAATCATATTTTTTTTTTCTTATTGAACAGTACAATACAGTAAAAATTAAAAGACCATCTGTAAAAAAAAAAGTTTGAATTGATACAGACGCAAAGAAGCGAAGTAAAGGGAAAAATGAACAGAGAAACTTACATGAATAAACAAAATAATAATAAATAAAAAAATAATCAAAACTTACGCTTTTTCGCCGATTTCTCCTAAGATCATTAAATTTAATTTTTTATTGGTAATATTTTCTGAAACGCTCATCATCTGGATAAACTGTAATACTGCTCTCTCGAAATAAAATGGATGACTAATTGTTATTCCAGCTATCGATCTTGAGATCGCATAAAATACTTGCATATCACAGTTTTCCTGGGAGAATATTACAGACATAAGCATTGTTAGCAGGACACCATATTCCAATCCTGGGAGATCGCATACAACCAAAGAACTTAAGAAGCTTACCGTGGCCTCTAACAGTGGCGCTGAAACAAAAATTATTGTCAATATCAGCGGATTTTTGTTTATTATTACAATATGGTTGGCCCCAGAAGTGCACATCAAAATTACTGACAGTATATATATATATATATATATATATATATATATATATATATATATATATATATATATATATATATATATATATATATATATGGTAACGGTTTTACAAGCTAGCTAACATTAAAAGAAAACGCGAAATAATAGAATCAATAGAAAAAAATTCCAACAGTCTAAACCAGAGATCAAAGCCTCAAAGGCTTCCAACAACATTAAATTAGGTAGAAAACGGTATTAAAGAAAAGGTCTAAAATACATCAGACCACAAGACCGACTAGTAGGACCCCGTCTACCTACACACGGACAGGACCAATCACAAGAAGCCTTGCGGCATTAAAAAGTAAACGCAGCGACCAAGAGAGTCAGTTAACTTTAAGCATCAGCGAGAAGCGCTAGAAGCGCGAGAAGATATATATTCTAGATATCTAGACATCTAGATATGGTTAGATATTGCGAGAAAATATAGAGCAAGCGATAAAAGGCAAAGTCGGGGAGGATCAGGCAGGTATTACGACAGGAAAATCATGCATAGACCACATATACACACTGGAACAACTGTTGGAAAAGAAAAAAGCAAAAAATAGAGATATACATGTGGCTTTTGTGGACCTGAGAAAGGCGTATGATTGTACCAAGGTCAGAACTATGGGAGGCAATGTACAAATTAGAAATACAGACGGAACTCATAGAAGCTACAAAAGCTCTGTATAAAGAAAATAAAGAGTCCAATAAAGTGGGAACAAGAATCATAGGAGACTTTAAAGTGGGAACAAGAATCATAGGAGACTTTAACACAATAAAAGGGCTCCTGCAGGGTTGTTCCACATCTCCAACCCTATTCAAAATATACTTAGAGAAAGCATTGACTACATGGAAAAGAAAATGCGAACCTCGCGAAACCAGAGTACCTATCTACAAGTGAAGAAGACATAGAAGATCTACAGATTGATGACAACATAACAATCAAAGGAAAGGACAAACAAATTCAAATACTTGGGGTTTATAATCACGAAAAAGGCAACAACAGACAACAGGAAAAACAAGAACAGCAATCCTCAGTATGGTGGGATAGACACCTAAATATGAAGACAAAAACACAGACTTATAAAACACTAGCGAGAAGTATTATGACATATGGGGCTGAAAATTGGATAATTAACAAGAAAAACAGCAGTAAGATAGTAGCAACATAGATGGAATGCCTGTGAAGATGCTGCAGAGTATATAGAACAAAAAAGACTAAAGTGATATGGTCATGCAAGAAGAACTAGCGACAGCAGATGGATAAAGAGAATAACCAAATGGAGCCCCATAGGAAGGAGGAAAAGAGGACAACCCCGAAGAACCTGGAGGAACGAAGTAGACGACGCCTTGAGTAAGAGAGGCCTAAACGATGGAGAATGGGGCAATGGAGAGAGATAGAAACGGTTGAGCGAGGGAGTGAATACCTGATGCCTGAATAGCCAACGCTTAGTTGATAGACCATATTTGTGTAAAATTGTCTTGTGCTACACCTAAAATACAGGCCCGACCACCACGCTGGTATGCAATGGAAACGGTTGGCTTGACTGAAGACCAAGTCTCCAAATATGTCCCCTTGCTGATGGTAAACAAAATTTGTTTCAGAGATAATGGGCTTTCTTAGAAGCCTATCTTTATTTGAATAGATATAAATGTAGGGTATACACACAAATTCTTTTAGCATTATCTATATATGAAAAGGTCTCGAGTCAAACAGCTCCTTTGAAATCTACAGTCTACAAAATAGTATTTTCTATTTCCTTATAAATTAAACTTTAAACAATAAAGTACTTAATACTTCTTAAATGGAAAACACCAACTAGTTGTCCATTTACTAATGTCAAAATGTCTATGGTCTAAGGTTAGTTAAACTTACCGTCCAAAGAAGGTGATTTTAGAAGTTCTAAAATCTTCGGCATAACAGTCTCACTAATATTTTCTAAACTATCCGGAAGATAATCAGCAATGGACTTTAAAATCTTGATGGTCCATTTAGTTATTTTAGGATCAGATATGTCAATAAAATTTGTACTTTCTGTAACAACAGGTATTAATATGTCTTTGTCCATATATTGCAGATTACCCTCAATCAAACTATTTATTAATTGAAGAGTCATTTGTTTCAAATCTCTTACTTCATTTAATTTTAAGATTCTAACCAATAACGGGATTAAAGGTAATGCAGCTAAGTTCTCCCCTAAAAAAAATAAACATATAGCAATAATATAATTAGTAAGGACTATGAATGTCCATTATGCAAATAAAGTAGAGCTTGTTAGATATGTTTTTGTCAAAAATTACAATTTTTAATAGAATAATCTCTACGCCAGGGCCGTTCCGACCAAGGTTCCGTTCTACTATAGTATATGCTTATAGTTAGACTAGTAACAGAAAGGTTGATTACGGCGGCCAAATTACTCTAGCACCCTGGCGGCACAGATACCCTAGGAACGGCCCTGCTCGTGTGATCTACACAAAATAACGGAATGGAACAAAAAATACTTACTAGAAGGAGATAAAACAATCCTCATTAATGTTTTCACAGATGCGTTCATAGTACAATTATCCCTCAGTGTCTCAAGGAACAAATTTAGAGGATGTAATGCCATAGGTCCCATGTAAGGGACCAAGTTAATTATTATCTCTCCCATTGTAAATATCGCTTTTTCTTTAACATTTAGAGGGCTATTCATTTGTATATGCCATAAGGTGCGATTGTATATGTCTCCAACACATGGCCTAAAGTCAAAGTCAAAATAGTTAGGATCCAAGGGATTGACTATTATTAGTAACGTTTGCAAGACGTCTAGGGCTTTTCCATTGGTCTTGTGACAGCGACTGTTAAGAGAATCTGTGACTGGAGGAAGTAAAATCCTTATATAGGGGTGAAAATAGTGCAACTGGTTTCTATAAGTTGCCAATATACTTAAAAGGCAAGATAGTGCTTTGAACATAACCTTGCAATCACCTCCTGAGTCTCCTAATGAATTTACTATTGCGGGTAGTACATCCCCAAAATAATCAGTAAATCGTTCTGGAAGAAGTATAGATAGTTCTTTTAGTAAACTGAAACACTTCAGTCTAATTTTTGAGTTTTCTTGCACTACATGAAACTTCGCGGCATTCACAATGTCTTCGATTCGACCAGAAATGATTAAAGTAGCCTCGGTCATTTGATTTGTATTTTCTTCACCCCACGAACTTATTGATTTCAGAAGTTTTAAAAATACATTGAAAACAAGTATTCTCACAATTATGTTACCATCTACAAAGAAAAAATATAGTTTAGCGTTTAGATTAATATAAATAAAGACAAAATTTAGAATTTTTATAATAATTAAAAATATTAATAGTTTCTTGTTCTGAAATGTATCCCTTCTATCAAAGGTTTGATATCAGCATTGTTTATTTATGGCTACCCAAAAAAGTTAATCCTTTATGACCTTTATTGCATAATACTTTTTTCATATTTACAAATTTAGCACCAGCTCTAAAAGAGTTTTAATCTGTTGAATTTGCTCGGAATTATGATTTACCTATGTTCCAAAGTACTGTTACCTATTTACTCTTTCTATTTGAATATTGTCGATATGTATTTTTCGTTTTCTCATGCATGTTTCGTAATAACCATGAATTTTGTGTCTTCTTTAAGTTTGTTCTGATGCCATATTTGTGGCAATTTCCATTCAGTCATTTTAATATATCTGCCAAGGTCTGTACAATTAACGGAATAGACCAAAGAAATTAGCAAATAAAAAGCATTTTTCGTGACACTCGTTGATACGTGACAACTGCTCTTAATAATTGGTGATACCAATACATAATAAACAAAATATGCAATTATTAAACTCCATTTTCTACTTATAAATAATTTAAATAGTTATTTGATTTTGAATGCTAAAAGACAAGTGAAGACCGGTAAATTATATGGAGAAGACATAATTTTACAGAAAAATCGTAGGAAATCCTTTAAAATGGCGGTTTGTAAAGATATTTTTGTTAATTTGGTGCTTAATTATCGCAAAAGTAGCTTCAAAAGTGGATTTTTTGAAATTTCTTTTATACAAAAAATTACCTTGGTACCTCGAATACAAAAATTAAATTAATTTAATTTGTTGTTTATTTAACCCTATATTGCATACCGTAGCTTTAAGGCAACACCGGAATTAATTTCCGTTAGAAAACTAACCTTTAATTTATTAAGTAGATTAAAACTGCATATTGAGTACTGAAAGACACATTCTATCAAGTAATCATGTAATTTGTAAAGTGAATGAAGTATGTTCTACAATTCCTCTTGAAGAATTCTTGTCAATAGATGAAGAGTTCCTTTCAAAGGAAGAAGCAGTCTAAAACAGTATAACCCAAAAAAACCGAAAAAGTGTGGGTAAAAAATTTTTGTTTTATCTATTACTTCTGGTTTGATGTATAAATTCGAAATATATACTGGAAAAGAACCTCATACTCTAACCAATATTGGTTCAGCTGGTAGTGTCTCAGGTTATTAGAGATTATCCCAAAACATCGAATCACAAATTATACTTTGACAATTGATTCAATACTATCAACTTGCAATTAGAATTGGCAAAAAATTGTATACAATGTGTAGGGGCTGTAAGGCAAAATAGACTAGCTGGTTGTGATTTGATATACCTATAGAAGAAATAGAGATCTGAATAGAAAACTATTATCAATGGTACTCCCCTGACTGTTGTGAAGTGGTATTACAATAAAGGCGTTACAATTCTAAGCTCATACGCAGGAGCTTATCCATGTGGCAAAAAGAACAGGTGGGATCATATATCTAAGCAATATATTGAAACTGATTGTCCATCACCTATCCTCTTATACAATAGGAGTATGGGAGGCGTTGATTTGCTCGACTCGCTTATTGCTCTATACAGAATATCAATTAGGTCCAAAAATTGGTACCACAAATTCTTTATCACTTTATTGACATTATGATTGTTCAAGCATGGCTTTTATATAGAAGAGACTGCACTGCTTTAAAAATACCAAAAAAGGAACAATCACTTCTATTGGAATTCAAGGCAGAAATTGCAAAAACTCTGTATGAAAAATAAAGTAAATGGTTCTAAAAGAGAGCGTCCATCTAGTTCAAATGTATCCACAGCATATGAGGAAAAGGAAATACCATGCAACAGCACCCATTCCCTGCGCAGAGGTTAGAAAAGATGGAATGGGTCATTGGCCTACATATTTTGAAAAGAAAGGAAGATGCAAATATCCTAATTGTAAAGGAACTCCCAAAGTTCAATGCCAAAAGTATAAAATATTTTTTTGTTTTACTACAACTTCTTTTCATACCGCTTGAAAGTGGGTCAATGGAAACATTTTTTTATGTTTGTCTCTGAGACTGATATTAGCTTTAATGTCCAGAAAAGATATGTTAGGGAAGCTATGTTAGTTGGAAGGTTAAACAAATTACTCAGTTAAATAAACAATTAACAAATTAAGTAAATGCATTTTTATTATCTATGCCACGAGGTACCCCAAATTAAGAAAAATATTAATGTTCATTGATTAGAATCAGAAATATTGCCAACTTATTAAATTACCATAATAAATTGGAATTTATGAATTCAAATCAGCAAAAGCTATCGACCGAGAGTATAAAAAAAGAGCAAAAACGATTGTTAATTATAACTTTTTCATTAATCACTGTTTATTTTAATATTATGTATGTACATTTCATATTTTTATATTAATAGTTTACAAACATATATTTTAAAGCTGCTATTTTTACTTACCATTAAATCTTGATATTAATTCGGGTAACACCTGTACATATAAATGCATCAATGGTTGAGGAAGCTTTAACATAGCGTCTAAACATCGTAAAGCTGCTTTGCGTACCTTCCAGGTGATGTTAGTAATGACGACATTATTGTCACCGCCCTCATGATTAGGAAATTCATCTCTAATGTAGTTCAGGCATAGTTCTATGATCTGTAAAACATTTTGGAAATAAATGGACAAGCATTAAACATTATTTACAAGGCAATAAAGACATTAATGTCATGCTAAAATTAATACTGCAGAAATTAAAAATGTAGCTATTGAAAGAAAAATACCAAGAAGATGGCTCCAATTATCTTCAGGATTAAAGAGTGCTAAATAGTACATACACATTTACCCAATACCAATAAATAATGAAAATCTATTTATTAGAAAGTTATACAAAGTCCACAAACACTCTTTACAAAAGAAGACTACAAATTCTGAAATTCTTTTTGTTGATTTGGGTTAGTTAAATCAGCTTAGCGAAAATGCTTCCTAAGAGAGCTAGACCTCTAATTTTGACTAGTATAGACATCTATAGCAAGGATCTGTTTCCTGCAGTCGATTCTTTGACTTTATTAGCTATTAACAAATTAAGGTGAAATTTTCCCTTTTTTTTTCACTTTTCTAAATTTTCACTTTTTTAAAAAAGTTATGTCATATAAAAACTTTCAGCGTTTTTTTAAATGTTTCTATCCTTATTTGTTGCAAGTTGCAAAATAAGTTAAAAATGTTGGTTTTATAAATGTTAGTAACTTTTTTTTAATGAACTTGGCCTTCATATTACAAGGAATGTTGGGACTTCTGGTGCATACAATTAAAATTTCAAAGCGATCCATCAAATAGTTTAAAACTTATTTCATTTGTTTATCCCAAATTAAAATTTTTTGCGACAATATAAGTTAGAAAATACTGAAGTTTCAGTAATTCTGTGGGTAGCTTATGAAAAAAGATTTATTCTAGCAGTATTATTAAAAGAATTAAGAAAAATAATTTTGAATACTGCTAAATCATTTTGCAAAACATGTTGACTTTTTGCTTATAAACAATTAGAATAACTGTTTAACAATTGCCTGCAAGAAAATTATTTTTCCATATTTGTAATAAGTCACAGCAGCTTTGGTTATAACAATTAACAGATCAAATTAACGTCATTTGAGAGAACATACTTTAAAGTTTTAAAGTGTAATTCGAAAAAGATTTCCGGAATCATCCACGAGGCTTCAAAATGTGGTCCTCAAAATCGACCGGCTTTAATTTTTTATTTTAGCAATATTTGAGGTAATGAGTAATATATACTTCTTCAATAAACTTCATAAACAATTTATAATAGATTTTATGAAAAAAACAAATTATCCTACTCAAAAATTTCTAAAAATAGATTTCTAGGTTTTATTTCTTGCTAAACATGCTATTAGATGAATTAAAAAAGTGAACTTACAAAATCATTTGTAGAAAAAAAGAGTTAAAACGCAAATTATTGCGGTTGGAAATACAGCAAAGGGCCGTTAGTGCCGATCTGATCAACAGAACTTCTTGCACCAGTTTTTATTAAAACAAATTACCTGTTCTTGCAAAACTGACCTGTGGGTAGCTTATTAAAAAACACTTATTACAGGCAATGGTTAAAAAGTTATTCTAATTGTTTATAAGGAAATTTTTTTTTATAATATATAAATCTCCGTATTTGACAAGCTATCCATAGAATTACTGTAGCTTCAATATTTTCTTACTTGCTTCTGACTTGTTGCAATAAAATTTAATTTGGGTAAACTATGTGACTGATCGCTTTGAAACTTTGAATACTCCATCTAGAGAAGAGGAAAAAACAAAGTAAGAAAAGCAATTTCCCTTCTCAATAGTATCCTTTGAGATTATTCAATACCAAATAACAAGCACAGTATATGCGGCTCACAAATACAAAGCAAACCAAATATACTGGACAGTACTATATAAAATCTCAATTCCAAAGATGAAAAAAAGAGATTATTGAAGAACAGTTAAATGTTTTGTATTTTGAGAACGATTTCCGAAGTGGAAATTGAAATGTCAAATAAACTTATTTTATTGTAAAATTGTAGCCTATAAAAAAAACAGTACATAACATAATAAAATAGGTATAATTACTTACTAGGATTATACGTGGTGTGACTTCTTTGGGAAATCTGTATATAAAACGCTTAAATGTTCCAAAGCATATTATTCTTAGATCATCTTTGTCTGGCAACCTACTAAATTTTAGAATTGCTGGAATAAATCTTTGGACATGCGTTGCAAATCTTTCTTCTGCTTCGAGGCTATAATTAAGTATAAATTCTGGTTGTTTGCTATAATATAGAAACAAAAAGTTAATCTTCTAACATATACAACATATTACACTATATCAGCCAAAATTTAAGATTGATATTGAAAATAGGAAGGAAGCAAAGTAAGGATACTGTTGCAATAACAAGCGTAATAAGTTTTAGATTATATGAATGAATATTTACATTATGAAAAGGGGTCATCTCCACTTTTTTGACATTTCCACTTTCTGTCGCATTTATATTTAACACACATAGACGCGTCTATTCCGTATAAAAATGGGTCAACATTCAATACTATTACCGTAAATACAGCATCCCCACAAACAAGTTCAGTTTGAAAACAAGTCATCTCCTTGAGATAACCCATTTTTAAAATGAACGGCGATTTGTACCCACCCACAGTATAATGGTTTATTACATCTGACCTACCCACGATGCAATCTATTTAGTCGTTGTATAGACCTGTCTGGAAACAAACGCTGTGCGTAATACAATGTCGTGTAGTGATAATAGTGCAAGTAAATCTCCCTTAAAACGAAAAAAAAGGTGTGAGGAATCAAAATAGTTATAAATCTATTAAAAATGCAAAATTTCGCGGAAAAGAACATCTAAATCATGTGGGCAAACGCATAGCTTTACGAAAAACTGGAGAACCAGAATCTTCTGGCATTAATAATGATTAAGAAGTTCAAAAAATTACTATTTAGTATTTACTTTCCACAGCGGAACCGTTCCGGAGAGATTTCGGTACCGTTAAAAGAAAAACTCGTCGCCACAAAAGGATTTTTTCTGTAGAGGAACATGAAGATTAAATCGTCTCTTCCTCTATTCATAATAAATTTGATATTAGACATATTACTCATATAGATGTAGCTGCTTTTTAAAAATGGTGGCCAGACTTTTTTAAAAAGAAAGTTTTTTTCTATACAAAGCTTTGGTAAAGAAGTTCCAAAAAACGAAAAGGTTAGTTTATTAACTCCTTAACTTAATATGAACAGAATTTAGCTTTTCCACGGATGATTTGGGTGTGGTATTAGCTAAACCACACATACTGATGGCATAATTGAAGAACGTTTTTAGCTTTTAAAACCTCAACAAAAGGGCAGCCCACCTATGTTTGTACCTGATTCTCAAAATCTTCCTATCAGGGGAAAATTTCAATAAACATAAAGAAATTGAAGACATTAAGAAGCTTCTACAATACATTCCAGATAATTACAAGCCATTCTGTGAATGGTCAACATGATCTGTGAATGGCCTACTACCAGTGCTGAAGAAGCAGAACAGGAAGACAATTAATTAAACTATCCTTATTTAAGTATGTTAAATGTTTTTATTTTTTCTTCCAAATTTAGTGTAGCAGTTTAATGTTTCTAATAAACAATATTCATATGATAATGCCTATTTTTACTTTTATTACCTGTGCATTTTGAAAACGGGCCATCCCAAAAAATTTCAGTTTTTAGGTCTTTTAAAATTAAAAAAATATATTTTTATAATATTCATCGGTTTGTATAGTAAATCATAAAACCAAAAAATACATATAAACACTTAATTTCTTAATAGTAATAAAGGTACGAAGTTTTTTTCCTCTCCTGTAAAATTTAAAAAAGTGGAGGTGACCCCTTTTCAAAATGACCGATTCATATATACTAAATGTTGAAATATCAACATACTGTTCTGCTATTTTGGTTTCCCCTCGTAGTTAGTCAAATCTAAAATCTGTCAACTTACTTGTTGAGCAACAAAAAAAAACAGATAATGAATGTCATTTCACTGAAAATGCAGATATGTGGGCAGTTGTGATTTGGGAACATTCATAAACATTTTGTTCAGACAATATAATATACATTTTTGATACAAAGATAACTTGCCTCTATTTTCCTGCATTTTTGATTAATATAAATTGTACTAGTGTAATAGTGCATCGCTTGTTTGAATTGTCTTTATTAAGTCGGTAGCATTTTTACGACCGAAAAACAAATATTTCAGCCCATCTTATGTGTGTGAGATTATAACAAGGTTTCTGCACACTAACAGAACGTGAAAATATATTATATAAAATTATAATAAATGTATATGTATGTATATTATGGTATACCGCCGATAATTAAACAATTTATATTTAATTTTAAGATGGTATATACTACATCCATCTTGATTTTTCGAGTATCAGTAAATAGGATTTTGGGCCCTTCAAAACATCACACAGATCGATAAGAAGTATTTACTTAAAAAATTAGTAATAAAAGTAATGTCATTGCCAGTAAAACTAAAACTTATCATATCCCTTGAACAAATAACTTTTTGACACAAGAATATGTTCCAGAAAAAGTTGTTAATTTTTTTTTAATTTCCAAAAAATCGCTTTTTTTAAACTCAAACAGAAACATTGTAACATAACATACTATTTCTTAGTATTCATTAAACAAGCAACACCGTTTTTAATACTAATGAAGAATTAATAATTATTAAAAATTACTCACCAGAGAGAAGCAATGCATTGTATATACGTTTTTGCCAACATATGATTGTCACGTGTCATTAATTCTGAATATAAGTGTAAAATTAAGTCATAGTAAATATTGTCATTGCAGTGGAGTACAAGAGCGGTCAACGCATCAATGCAGGCTTCACTGATACTTGAGTCACGACAGGAAAGTTCATTAAGTAGGCTGTTTAAAACTGGACCATGTTGATACTCTAATATCATCCCAAAACGTGATAATAATAGCTGTGTACTCTTAATAACTCCTACTCGAACTGATAAATGCATCTGAAATATTTTTTAAAGTTATATATTTATATTTTAAATATTTGTATTATATAATATTACCCCTGGTAATATACCAACTAGCCAACTATGGGAAGCTCACTAAACACATCCATTAATCAGACTCCCATAAATGCTATCAAACCTTTATGAAAATTCCACCTCAAAAATAAAAATGGAAAATGAGCTGTCCAGAAATTTCTGTGGCAAAGGATTACATCAGGGGTGTTGTATATTGCTAACACTTCTTAAAATCTACATTAAAGAAGCACTACTACAATGGAAATCTAAATGTTGATGACCATTCAGTACTGGCAGGCAATAAAGAATTCTTTCAATAGGAGATTTATGAGATACAGCAATGTGCAATTTCAATCTAGACGTTGAAAGGTCAAATAAAGAGCTTGTTATACTCATACTATATTCTAAGAAAGTAAAAAAACAATAATAAGACTTACAATCAATTTGCAAACACCTGAACCTTGACCTGAAGATGCATAGCAAATTATAGTATGCGAAACTGGTTTGTTAGTGGTAGAATAAATTGATTGTGGGTAAGTTTTATCCTTATTTCTTTTAACCTATTTGAAATGGACTCACACATGCAACATATTCAAGATTTATATTCCAAGTATATAATTGATAGAAGCCTAAGAGATCACATCAATATATAAACATAACCATTATACTTACATCATGAAATAGACTACACTCGTTACTGGCCAATATTTTCATTACTTTTTGAGCAATGACATCAGAATTATAATAAGAATGAGTTTGTCTCTCATAATATGGAAGTTTGTCCAAAATTAATCGTAGCGTAGTGATCGCATTGGTTCTTAAATGTGGTTTATAAGAATAAATAATGGTGTGTAAATATGCAATGATTGACATCATGCCATCTTCGGTGACTTTGCTGGATAAGCCTATTAAACTAAAAAATAAAAAGGTTCTCAAAATCCGTAATTTTTACATCCAAAAAAATATTACTTATAAATATTATCTAGTCACACAGACTTGCATTCTAAATACAAATCATAGTATATACCCCCTGTATTGTGATACAAATGCAATTCTCTGTCAGTAGTGATGTCAATATTGTAATAATTACCATATGAATAATATATGTCACCATCAGAAACTTAATTGAGAAAACTTCTGAGACTATAGTTCACACAAAATTAATATGAATTAAAAATAATGATTGAATCTGACTTACCATTCAATTGCTAAACGAGAAATTGCATCTATGTTAGCATCCAGATGATTCAGTAGAATGTTAATGAGTACAGTAGCAGTATCAACTGTGACAAACACTCCTGGACTATTAATGTTGTTTGCTAGCTCATGCATTGCTGCATAGCAAACATCTAGATTCGAAGTCCGAATCTGTAAAAGAAATAACTTGATACAGGTTCAAATTAAAATAAGAGTCACCTTGATACATTCAATGGCTTTAACAAAGTGCTATTTAATAGACCTAGAACATCAGTATTGGTGGGCAAGAAGTAGAAACAGTTACTCTAACAAAAACTAAGAGTCACATAGAGAAGAATCGAGCGATCCATGTTAGGAGTAACTCTGCAAGACAAAATAAAAAACGAAGAGGTCAGGAGAAGAACCAAGGTGACTGATGTCATCAAAAGGATAGCCAGACTAAAATGGAGATGGGCAGGAGACATAGCTAAAATGACAGATGGCGATATACCAAAGAGATTATTGGAATGGAGCCAGAATGGAGGAAGACAAAAGAAGCGTATGTCAACTTTCTAGATAATGGGCTGACGATTTAGGATGAAAAAATAAAAACTGGATGAGAGTGGAGTAAGATAAACTGGGTTGGAAACAGGAGTAAGATGCATATGTTCAGCAGTGTCCTTTGAGGCTAGATGATGATTTAATATACCAGATCTGTATAGTGCTGCAAATCTAAGTCATGAGTGATCATATGTTAAGAATTAATTAAATTAGGGAACAAGCTTAATATTAATAGTTTTGAATAAACTAAATATAAAAATATTCCCTGAAATAAAAAAAAACATGTATAATTGGGGCTATAATTGTGAGTAAAAATGGATGTGTAATAACATATGAGAACAATCTAGGAGACATAGAAAACAATATGTACCTACCAGATTTTGATACCTTTCCGTTATATTACACATTGTGCTATGTAATGTAATGCTTTAATTTTTATTATTTTGCATTTGAAACCTTACAAAATGTTAGAAAGTAGATCGAAAAACATTTGGCGGTAAAGGTACTCCTGCTTATTGGCATGTGACTACACTAACCATTAAAAATTAGGGAACGAGTATATTAATAGTTTTGAATAAACTGAATATGAAAATATTCTCCGAAATAATACAACATGTATAACTTCGGCTATAACGTGAGTAAAAATGGATAATTTGTGGAACAAAAAGTGGGAACAATCTAGTGCTTAGAAAACAATATACACCTACCAGATATTCAAAGCGTTCTAGTGTAATTATTGACATGATTTTGTTTCATATACACCACATTAACTTTTATTAGTTCACATTTAAAAAGCTTATAAAATTTTGAGAGCAAGTAAAACCATTCTTCCCATCTTCGCCGGTCAAAGGGACGCCAACTTGTGAATACAAGCTGCTACAAGTACAAATGACCGTTAAAAAAACGTTAAAAAACCGGCAAATCCTTAAAACATAAAAGTGTCAAATGTCACAAAGTAACAGAACGTTCAGTTCATACCATTGCGCGAAAGTTGAATTGTCCCGCATTTAATACAATGACGTATAATTTTAATATTACCAAATATTAAAAAAATTAAAAACTTCTCATTGTTATTTCAAAAATATTACGTACAAATGTTAATATTTAAGGAGTATGAAGAAATTATTGAAATATGTACATATTTAATTCTTTAATTACTATTTAAATGGGAATAAGCCACATTTAAAGGTTAAAGTAGGTTTATTGATGTTAAAGCAGAATGAAGAAGGCATCTACGTAATTTACCATCCTATGTTGTAAATAAGTTAATGAGTTAAGTTTTGTAGTTTAGACAAGTATAAAATGTCAATTTTGATGGAAATAAAATAACAATAAGTCACAGTCATTATTTTATTACAAGGAAGTTTTTTTCTAGTTAGACGATCTAATATTATTAACAATATTAACATGGTAGCAGAGCGTACAGTACCTAAATGGTAATGCTAGAAAATACAAGAAATTAAGTAAGAATTGAAGAAAAATTTTTAACTGTCTGGAAAGTGTCATCTCCATAAAGTAATAAAGAGCATTTTAAATTAAATCCAGAGTAAAATAGATCCCAGTAAGGTGCAAATAGGATTACTTGAAGGTAAAGAGAGTTGGACCACTTGGAAATACAAAATATCTATTCTTCTGAGAAATGTAAAAAGTGCGATGGACGTCCTTGATGGTAGATTAACTTTTCCTAAGTCGTTACTCGAAGGAGCAACACAAGAAGAAAAATGCAAGTATGAAAAAGATGTTGCATTTTTTAATCAAACAGATAGTACTGTCTTATTAGTTCTTACAATAAATATGACTCAAAGCACATTAGAAAAAGTCATGAGATTTTCGACCGCTAGGGAAGTTTGGTTGGAGCTGCATCGTTTGTATGATGGTAATGCAACAGATAAAACCTATGATATCTGTATGCAATTTTTTAGTTATACTAGACAATCAGATGACGATATTGCTACTCATTCATCAAAACTTAAAAACCTTTGGAACAATTTGCAAAGCGAAATTTTCAAAGATAAAGCAGTTGCTGGAAATAATTGTAAGTGCGACTTGCCAGATATTTTGCTTATTTGTAAAATATTAGAAACTCTACCAGCTGAATATTTCTCATTTAAGTCTAGTTGGATTCTGGTATCAAATAAAGACAGAACAATAGATAACTTGACAAATCAGCTATGCTCTTATGAAAAAGCATTAACAAATAAAAATGAGAGCAAGCAAGAAGTTTTATATACAGTGAATAAGAGTAAAGCACATAAATATAGTTATTCTTGCAATTACTGTAAGCAAAAAAGTCATAAAGTGAAGCAATGCGATAAATGGAAAGCCGATGGAAGGCCTCCTAAACCACAAAATTCGAAAAAACATACAAATACTAAAGCTAAAGAAACTCAGATGTCCTTAGTGGCTGTATCATCGAATGTGTTGAATTGCGAAGCAGATTTTAAAAATTGGTATGTTGATAATGGAGCGACTAATCACATAACAAATCAACAAAGTGTATTCCAATCGTATGAACCATTTAGCGAAGAGCAAACAATAACAACAGCTAATGGATATGCAGTTGCGGCATTAGGACAGGGTACCATCAAAATACAATCTTTTGTAAAAGGAAAGAAGAAAGAGTTTTTATTGACCAACGTATGGTATGTTCCCAATATCAGGAAAAATCTTTTCTCAACTTTGTCTGCTCAGGACAAACATCCAGAAAGTGAATTTATTTCCACCACTGAGTGCTGCTATTTTAATATTTATAAAGAAACAATTATTGTTGGATCTAGATGTAAGTCTGGTGGACTATATAAACTGAAGATGCAGGCAATCAAACCTGAAAATGTGAGTGTCAGTATGGTTACTTCTAAAGAAAATATATTGCAACTTTACCACGAAAGGCTGGGTCATCAAAGCAAAAGACATGTTAAAGATGTAATTAAACAAGAATTTAACATAGATGTGAAGCTGGATAGTGAATTATGTGAGGGCTGCGTTTATGGAAAAGCTTCCGTGAAAAAGTTTGGCATAAGAAAAAGAGCAGAAACTCCAGGAGAACTGATCCATTCGGATGTTTGTGGGCCTTTCAATGTATCAAAATCCGGTTTTAAATATTATGTTTTATTTAAAGATGATTTTAGCAGATACCGATTTGTATATTTTTTAAAGCAAAAGTCAGAAGTTGCTGATAAATTAGATATTGTTTTAAAAGAAATAAAAGCTGCAGGATATGGTGTGAAAGAATTTCTGTCAGATCATGGTGGAGAATTTGATAATCATCGAGTAGCAAATATTTTAAACAAATATGGAATAAAACAAAGATTGGTGATGCCGTACACACCACAACAAAATGGCTGTTCAGAACGTGATAACAGAACGATTGTCGAATGCGCAAGATCTTTAATGCATGCAAGAGAAGGTATCTTTGATCAAACATTTTGGGCTGAATTAGTAAACACAGCTACATATATCTTAAACAGATCTGGTATGTCCAGTATTCCTGATAAATCACCACATGAAATATGGTTTAACAAGAAGCCTGAACTTAAACATTTAAGAGTAATCGGCAGTACTTGTTATGCTCACGTTCCTAAAGTTTGCAGGAGAAAATTGGATAAGAAATCTATTAAAGGTATACTCGTGGGTTATGAAAATGATGATGGATATAGGATTTGGTCAGAAGAACAGCATAGACTAATACTTTCACGAGACGTTATTTTTAATGAATTTGAAACTCTCGGTGTGCTAAAAGAATCCAAACAGTTTCAAAGTTTGCAACCTACAGTAGATGTATTGGATTTTGTTCAAAATAATTCTGATACAGAAGAAATAGATATTGTCGATGAAATTAGTGATAGTATGGAAGAAATGGACCCATATGACCAAGAAGAAAACCAATGTTGTGAACCAGAAGAAAGCTTAGAAGAAGATATAGAATTTAGAAGACAACTGAGAGAAAGATCAAACATTAAGAAGCTAACACGCTTTGACGAGTTCGTTATGATGGTTGCTGCTGAAATAAACGACACCAAAGAACCACTTAGTTACAAAGAAGCAATTGTTTGTTGTGAAAAAGATAACTGGAGGCTGGCAATGGAGCATGAAATGCAGTCATTAAAAGAGAATTGTACATGGATTTTGAAAAATTTACCTGAAAATAAAAAAGCAATTCCCTGTAAATGGGTGTATAAACTCAAAACCAATCCAGATGGTTCAATTGATAAATACAAAGCTCGTTTGGTAGTGAAGGTTTATTCACAAAGAAAAGGTGAAGATTATGAACAAACGTTCAGTCCAGTAGCTAAAGGTGGTACGATAAGAGCCGTTATAAGTATAGCTGCTAGTAAAAACATGTCACTTACACAATTCGATGTCTGTACTGCATTTCTGTACGGTACTCTAGACGAAGAAGTATACATGAAACAACCAGAAGGCTATGATGATGGTAGTGGTATGGTTTGTCATCTCCAGAGAAGTTTATATGGATTAAAACAGGCACCAAGGTGTTGGAATAAGCGTTTTGGAAACTTTATAGATTCGCTTGGCTTTAAACGAAGTACTGCAGATCCATGTCTATTTATTAAAATCGAAGGAAAAGACATGTTAATATTAGTGCTGTATGTTGACGATGGTCTAATAGCATGTACAAATGAAATAATGAAGATGAATATTTTTGAAAAAGCTTCAGGAGAAGTTTAAAATAACAGTTAAACCAGCTACATATTTCTTAGGTTTGGAAATCGAAAGAAATCAAGACGACTCCATAAGTATTACCCAGTCAGCTTATACAAGAAAGGTGCTAGAACGTTTTGGCATGGAAAATAGCAGACCGGTCTCGACCCCGATTGTAAAAGAAGCTATCCAATTAGGGAAGGAAACTAGTGAAATAGAATCGAATACTTGTTTTCCATATCGCGAAGCTGTGGGTGCTCTTATGTACCTAATAACGGGTACACGTCCAGATATAGCTTATGCTGTTAGTGTTGTATCCAGGAAATTAGAAAATACAAGTCCAAACGACTATGTAAAGGTTAAGAGAATATTCCGCTATTTGAATGGGACAATAAATTATGGCTTAACTTATATGCGAAAGCCAGATATACAACCTAAGTTAACAAGCTATAGTGATGCTGATCATGGAGGTGATATAACAACCGAAGATCGACATCTGGGGTATTGTGTCTTTATGCTGGAGCAGCTGTATCTTGGTTTAGTCAGAGACAAACATCAGTAGCCATATCCACAACAGAGGCAGAAATAGTAGCTGCAAGTGACGCTGCACGAGAAATAGTTTGGTTAAAAAGAATATTTACGGAATTAACCGGCGTTAGCTTGGTTCCGACACTACAGGTCGACAATGAATCAGCCATACGATTAACGCAGAATCCCGAGTTTCATCGCCGGACTAAACATATACATATTAGACATTTTTTTCTTAGAGAAATGGTATTGGATGGATCACTTGAAGTAGTAAAGGTGTCACCTGAAAATCAGTTAGCGGATGTTTTGACGAAGCCGCTGTTTTCAAATAGAATGAAAAAATTACTTTCTGAAATCGGGTTGGAAAATTACTCAATGAGGGAAGGTGTTAAAGCAGAATGAAGAAGGCATCTACGTAATTTACCATCCTATGTTGTAAATAAGTTAATGAGTTAAGTTTTGTAGTTTAGACAAGTATAAAATGTCAATTTTGATGGAAATAAAATAACAATAAGTCACAGTCATTATTTTATTACAAGGAAGTTTTTTCTAGTTA